AATTCTCTCTGCGTTAGATCATCTAATTTTTTTAAGATTATATATAATTCTCTGAAAATAATTTGTTTTCCAACTGATTAAATCCGAATCGATCAAAGAGCTCTATCAAATATAGAGTGCGATGGTTTTAGCCACATCCTGTGTATATTATTTTCTCAAAGAGTGACGTCGATCGGCTCCGCAAATGTTATCGTGAAACGACATATGCGCCTGATCTTCTTTCCCAGAAAGGGGCGTTATAAATAATCTCGAGACCAACGGCGTCACATAACATCGTGAAATTGACGTTATCTCTGTCGTCGCGGTTGTGGCGTCATTCATCTCGCGAGAGAGCGTAACTCTTCGTCACAGAAAATCTCCTCCATAATTCAACCTACGACGTGTCGTACAAGATAATGATTTATATCCGAGACTTTATATTAGATTTACATATGCGCCAACTTGCCTGAGAATATGTACGAAGAAAAACGCAAATTTTTCTTATAGGCTCTTTGAAGAATCTCGACATTAAAAATCTTCGTAATTATAAGCTTTCTAATATCTCTTCGATATTTATTATGAATAGTCCATTGATTAAATAATTTATTTGTGTTAATTGGAAATTTGATGAGGTTTGTTGTGACGTATACAAGTAGTATTTGCAAAGTATTTATTATTTGTTGGTAGAAATCTAGTCAATATTATCCGATAACACTCGATTCTCCTATATCGGATTATCTACCAGAAATGATACTTGCAAATAAAAAGAATTAAATTGTACATATACATACATAGAAACGAATCGAGAGTGGTATTAATATAATTTAGTTATTTGTGGTTTGCAGTATATATACATACCTATATACATATGTATAATTGCAGCCTACAGTTCTATTTTTGCAGTATTATTAATTTCTTGATGCGCCGCAAACATCTCAGTTTATTGTTTGTTATTCTTTGTATTTGGTATCAGATTTCATTTGTGGTTTTTTTTATCATGTGTTCTTTCAGCAGAATTTTAAAGACGATTTGTTTTAAAAAAGGGGCAATAACTTTTCTTTTTTTTATAATTTTTTTGTTGTTTTCTAATTTTTTTTTTATAAGTTGTGCAATCTCTGGGCATTTTTGAATATGAAACCATAGATTTTATTTACGAAATTCTCTACGTCGCAGGTGAAATGACGTTATCTTCGTCTATTTGATCTACTGACTCACTGTCATCACGCGCTCCACGTGGAATTAGTTGTGACGTGTAGCATAATTCTCGTACAACTACGCATTTAGCTGCCAAAATTATAAATTATCGGAATGAAACAGCGGTTTTCTTGGTCCTTCCAGAACTTGTTTCCAATCCGCCACATTGGTCGATTTCTCGAAATATATTTTAAGCAAATTCTAAATGAAAAAAAGATTTTTAAATATGTATGAGTAATTATTATAATTATTAGTAATTTAGATCTACGTTAGATAACATCTTGGATGCTTAAATAATAAATATTTACTAGCATAACTTTCCATAATGCAAACTGCGGTTTCCTCGAGTCTTCGTGCATGACATATAAACAAGATACCGGAGATTATATTTTTTATAGGATATTGCGGTCAGACGATCATAATTTTATTCAATGAGGAAAACTTTAATAATCGCTCGAGATTGGTTACCGCGCAAAAAAGGGGAAAAAATATGTGGTCACATAAAAGTTAATATGTGCAATTGTGCAACGAAGAACGACTCCGGAGAAGACACGTATCTGCTTATAAACACGTGCTACGAGAAACAAAAACATTTCCGGAAAAAATTAATCTCTAGTCGTATATTTCATAAACATTGAAAAAGAAACTGTTATTAACTTGACTATAAACTGGTCAATTAAATTACTATTTTGCTAATTGGAAATATATTAGTATTTAAGTTAAATATACGTGTTTTCTAAAATTTAATATATTATATTTAATTTAAATATTTCTATATGTTCAATTAACAAAAGAATATTTAGTCAAGTTAACAAATTTTTTTCAATGCACGCAGCAGCGACATGAAATGTCATAAATTCATCAAAAAAAATTCGCGCGCCCGTAGAAAGAAGTTTCGCGCTATTTCACGAGATAATCTATCGATTCTTCTCGAGAAGGATTCTACTCGTGGGTGTGTTCTCTCATCATCGTACTACGTTGCACGAACGTGGTCGCACTCGATAAACTTGTTATCAATATATAACACTTTTGCAGTTGGGCACATTAGTGCATCCTGGTATATATCGGCGCTTCAGAGTTCGCGTCCGGACTCACTTTCATCGGATCGCGCTATTATTAAAACATCTCCGACGCATCGAGGTCTTAGTTTGCATTCTTGCGCGCCGACCCGAGCTGATATATCGATTACTACATCTCCTGGAATGTCGAGAATTCGCACGCTCGCGCGGGATGACTGGTTTTAACGAGCGATTACGCCGTCGCGGTTTTAACGAGAACTCGACGCACAGGCGTGTAACGCGTAATTCCACGGTCCCCCGAGGGTTTTAATAAATGCAAATGTAACTCGATCGATTTGGTACGACGTAGTGCTAGGTGGCGACGACGCGAGATATCGATCCTACTCGTTTGTGTATTTTTTTTTAATGAGACCTCTGCGACAAAACACGCGAATCGATAACGTATGTATAATATTTCCGAATAATCGAATACTATCTCTCCGATTATTCGACTCATTCTCATGCGGAATCTCGAAACTTACTTGACATGCAAACATTTTTTTTCGAACATGTATATTCTATTATTTTTACTACTCGCGGAGAGAATTTTCTCTTAGAATTTACCCTGAAAATTATGATCGTAGGATAATTTATAATAATGGAGGAATATTGGAGGAATTTTATAAGAGTTTCTCTGAATAATATTTATCGCAATAAATATTAAATTTATATTTTGTCATAGCACCTCTTATTCTATTCTTATCGGATTTAAAAATCTTTATATGATTATAAACTTATATTTGTTTGTCATAACTAACGTACTTACGATAGGAACTACATAGACATGTTTTTACATTTTTTATCTTTACGTTATTGTATTGAAGAAGACAGACGAAATGTTTACCTTTCAATTATAATATATTAAAATATTTAACATCTATAATTTCCTTGCTCGTTTAGTTAATCTATTTCTTTTGTTTATTTTAAAAAAAAATTAATATGTACATAGTAATTTTTACTATATGCGTACATAATAAAATCAGTCGAATATATTTTACATCTTATTGTGATATAAATAATATTTTTATTGTGGTAAGTATTTTTAATCAGAAAAACTCATAAAATTCTTCCAATATCATATTGTCCCACGATTATCATGATTTTCGGAGTAAATTCTAAGAGAAAATTATCTCTGCGTACGTGACAAAAAATCATCGAAATTATGAGTATAATGATTATAAGAATGTTGATGATGATGAGAAAATTTGTTTGACGCATCTTGCATTTATGTTTATCCTCTTTGCTTACATGTTTAAAACAATCAATAATATCAGGAAAAATGTGTCTATAATATGGATGACTTGTATAATTTATCTCGTCATTTATTTTTCAATGTGCATCGGGGAGGGAGAATTTCTTATCGATGATATTAGTTTGAAGTTCATTACAGTTTCGTATATACGCGATATATCCGCATATCTGACAGTCAGACACGTGTCGGCTACAGAAAATCCTTGACTCTCTGTCTCTCTCTCTTCACCTGTCTGCGATCGCAAGGCTATCGACGTTTATTACGACGACCTGTGATTTTGTAACAATTTTCCAGCTAATTTATCGAGCCGGATATTTCTCGGATTATATTTATCCGTTATACGATCGACGTTTTATCTCTCTCTCGTATCTACGAATTAATTTTTATTTTACAGAGGAACAGAGGATTGTTTTTTTTTTCCGCATTGATTTTATAGGCAAGCTTTTCCTGTCGGATATCGGTCGAACGGAAAATTGGCGAAACGAACAATAAGTGAAAAAAAATGCAAAGTCGTCCTTTCATTTCAATTGCGCAACTCATTAGGATGACGGAAATGGAGAAGTGCGTCTTATCGATATATCACGGAGGCAAATCACGTATATCGGTCTTGTTGACTATGCTTTCTCGTAGAAAGTAAAAGCACGTCAGGGTTTCGTGCCAAGGTGAGATCGCGGTGAAATCCGTTCTTGCGGTGTCCTTCGCTCGTTATCGTTATACATATATGATGTTAAGCACACACACATATATGCATATGCTACTCTAATAAATTACTAAACATAAACACACTGATACTCTAATACAGGAACGTTACACAATAATGCTTACGTACGAAGTTTCAATTATAAAATACTACTTATAGAATTATCCAATGCGAATTAAGGATCGAAGATCCTTTTGTTGTATACAATTCTCGAGAAAGTAGGACAAAAATGATTTCTGCAGCGTCATAATAAAAATTTTTTTACAGCCATACATGTATGATATTAACTTTGAGTATAAATTATACAGCGTTGTTCTTATTACGAAAGTCTTATATATGGAATATTAACTATTAACCTTGGCCTTTGTTATCATAATACCGATTCTATAATGAAACTTGTGCAAAACGATTTTTTGCAAAACTTTCCGCGTATATGTAAATTACACTTGATTAAGTCATATCCAGGCGCTTTAAGGATGTTTATCGTTATTAATTCCTGGAAGGAAGTATTTTCCTTTGCACGATGACAGATCGAGAATAAGATCCCTTCGGGCGGAATAGAAGCAATCTCTTCTTATCTTACGCATTCTTTATTTTCTTTTATTTTTACATTCTACGCTCAATCTATTAAACATCAGTTTCACTTTTGGTGAAACTTGAAACGTAGAAATTATTGATACCTTGTGCGCATCTTTTCGATAAAAATAGATCGTCTTTTTCAATTTTTTTTTTTAAGAATCATTACCGCTCTCGGTTTTTGCGATGATGACTGGAAATATGACCGCGACTATAAATATTTTCCTCATTTATGTTTCAGTACCCACTTATCAGTGCAACATGTCGGTCACTTCCGTGCAGCCAACCACAACCGAGAGCCTCTCCCGCCACGGGTGAGTAAATTTAATTCTTTCTCGCAGGACAACCGCGACTTATAATTGCAAATGTTTGTCCGAGGCGTCCGTTTTGCTTTAATGATTTTCCTGCTATGAAATGCGTCGATTTGGTACATTTTTATTTCTCACCGCGGAAAAACCAATTGCTCGCTCATCATATATATGAATCTCAATTCTTTTGTCGATATTAAAATATATTTCAATTTTTATATACGAGATATAAAACAGCTGCACTTTCAATTAAATATCCAATCAGCGACGTGGCTCATTATCTTGTAAATTTATTATGAAAACATGGACATAATGTTTAATGTTCAACGCGCAAAATGTCATATATCATCGTAAACTTCGGGATTAAAAAAAACCTAGAAACTTCGGTCGTTATTATATAATCGCCGTGTCGTGTTGTTAATTCCGCGGCTAATTAATGCTAACGCAAACGATGCAATCTTAAATGCGGTACGCGATAGAGAGCAAAGATATAGAGAAAAAGAGAGAAAGACAGGTTTAGTCCAACCAGCGATTGCGACGTTTTCTCATTTCCGTTAAAGTGCGCAACGCATAACTCGACTTCCTAAGTAAGGTATTGCATGCGCAAAATAGACGGAAACATTAATCGAGGAACGTTAAAGGCATTTATATACGCCGCCGAATCGCAAGAATGTTATTTACCATCAAGAATGGAAAAGGAAATAATTTCATTTTTAATTAAATAATTAATAGAAAGAATTTTTATTTTTAACCCTTTACTTTTTTTTAAAGAAAATTTGATCGAATTTCTTGCGGCATAAACTAAATTTTATTCCATCGATATAATTATTTTATAATGTCACAATTCTACATATGGACACTTGTGTGGAAATAAATATTTATGGATGCGTAAAAATTATAAAACGATTAAATTTAACTGATTCGATTACGATTTAAAATATTTATATTTTTACACAGAGAGAATTTTCTCTTAGAATTTATCCTGAAAATTATGGTAATCGTGGAACAATATGGTATTGGAAGAGTTTGATAAGAATTTCTCTGATTAATATTTACCACAATAAAAAATATTAACAATAAGAATTGAACATATGTAGAGTGCGATGGTATAAAATAATTAAATCGACGGAATAAAGTTTTGTATATAACGCAAGAAATTTTCGATTAAATTTTCTTTAAAAAAATGTGAAAAAACATTAAAATTAAAAAAATATTAATATCTACCACAAGATATAAAATATTTTCGACTGATCAGAGAAACTTACAAAATTCTTCCAACATTGTCCCATGATTTTCATAGTAAATTCTAAGAGAAAATTTTCTCCGTATATTATAGCTATTATATTTATATCAAATTATTGATTTTATCTAAAAGAGAGCTTATTAATTAATACTATAATATTTATATATTTGGAGGAAAGGGGAGGATTATTCCCTGGAGAATCTTTCCTATATTCTGATTCCTTCAGTCTTTATTTAATTCGGCAAGACAGAATTATTATCGACGCAAAAGTTTAATTACTCATCTGGCGTAGTGCCATCACCTGACAAAGCTTTGTATGATTTTTACGGCCATTCACGAGATTCCGTTCTCTCTCCGGCCTTTGTTCTCTCGTGTATGTTGCGTGACTGTGTCTAACGCACAGATACGCGCATAATGCGAGCGGACCTGGCTTATTACACGTGTGTTCACGTAGTCGTCACGTGAAAGAAGCGTTTTCCTTCCTGATTACCATATGCGCGCATACTCGTTCGAATTATTAATCCGTCTCGCGATTCTTTACTCTTGTTTTTCGACCAGCAGGTTCAAGGTAGTTTGCTCCTGTATCGTTTCCATAAATCGTATTAACTCTGGGAATCGCGAATTATCTGGCAAAAACGTCTACACTCGTCGGACTTTGGCATTTTTTCTCTTTTTCTCCCTTGTTACGTCTTTCTTTTTTTAATGATGATTTGCGCTCGAAATGATATGTAAAGTCTCCGGTAAGATTGAGGTCGATGTTTTGTAACGGAAATTTTTTACCCTCGATCTAATTATAATGTACGGTCGGAGCTTATTAAGCGCTTTTGCTGAATTAAACAGAATTGAATTTAAAAACAAAAGTGGCACTCTTAATTGCAAAAGGAATTAAATTTTCCATTACGAAAAATTCATCGCGCGACGGAATTTATTTGACGGAGAAGCTATTTCGATTCATCGGCGACAATACAATTAATTTTTACCGCGATATGAATGAAAATCAGAAGGAAAATAATTAAGAAAAGATTAAATCTGAATTAAATTTAAATTAAATCTAAATTAAATATTAATTTTAAATTAATTTAATTTTAAGTTGAACGTGTAATTTATGATACTTTATCGATTTACAGGAGCAACATTTCGTTATCCTGTCATAGTCTGTGCGGCAGCGTGGACGACGGTCTTCAAGGTTCGCATCCCCAGTACCAGGATACGATGTTGACGATCGAGGAACTGCGCGCCCAGCTCAACTCCTGCTTTACGTAAGTCTCACGGTTGATTTGTGCACTTCGTTCGCGATTTATAAATCGATCGCGTAGTTATGTGCATACATACATGCGAGACGAGACGATACGCGATGGGGAATTCTACGACAGACTGTGGGAGAATTAATCAGGGATTACGCAACGTAATTGAGTGACGTTACTGTCTAGTCAATGGAATCCGGTACAATCTAGAGTATACAACAATTTCAATTCGTGTCGCGGTGACGCAATTACATACGCTCAATTTCAACTTTTTTTCTAGAAAGAAAAACATTAATTTTTTCATAAATAAATTAAAGTAAAATAAATAAATCAAAAATTAAATTAAATAAAATAAATTATTTTTGATGTAAATTAATATTCGCGGATCCCACGGAAAAATGAGAGAAAGCATTATAAGACTCATTTTTACGATCGTTGTGAATAAAATAAAATTTTAGAGGAAAATCCTTACTTATAATAGATTCTTAATTATACATATTTATTGTACACAGAGAGAATTTCTCGTTATATTTTACCGCAAAATTTACTACAAATTTGATCATGTTTGGTAATAAGCCGAAAATTACCATTCTATGCATATTAAAATTATCATGAACGATTAAGTTGGATTTAAAATATTATGCCGCATTGTAAAATTTATATAAAATATTTTATATGTTTATCACTTTTTTGGTATAAGTTTGTAATATATTTTAAAATTATTAAAATTGTATTATATATTTTAGTAAAATTAATCAAACATATTTTATATCTTGTTGTGCTAATATTTTTATCGTGGTGAATATTAATCAGGGAAACTCTTATGAAATTCTTCCAATACCATATATCGCCTCACGATATGAAAAATTCAGGATACATTCTAAGAGAAAATTCTCTCTGTTTACGATTTAATTCTCTCGTCTCACAAAAATCCAGCGTTATGAGAGCATATACAATATATATCTGCGGACTATTTTTTTCTGAACGACAGTTTTTTCGCGATTCGCAAGTCACGAGTTCCTCGCGAGCGCATAATAAGTTGCGTGAGAAGAACTCGCGTTTCTTGCGCGCAAGCCGGTAGTTCCGCGTCTCGCATCTGGCGACTCGTTCGGCATTCACATTCACGACGATTATCTCGTTCTCTACGCAGATGCGGAGTGTCGTGGAGCGAGGAACACGTCTCCCTGGACTGCAGCGAGTGCGGCGGTTACTCCTTACAACGACCGTGCCCGCTCTGCGACGGACGTTGCCATACCTCGTGGAAGCGCGACCGCATTATGGTAAGTTATGTGTGTCCGCTTCGATGATTCCCTCTTTCTCCTCTCGAACAAACGGGAAGAAAATCAATGATTCCGATCGTATATTTACACCGTTAACCTTTGATCGGCGCGATACTCTTTTCCCTCATTAAATCATTGATTAAGTAAATTATTATCTCACAATCATCATTCGTTATTTATTATCCCTCATTGACCTTTGATGATGAGGTGGTCATGGTGTTTATTAAAGCGTATATTTAATTTTTTTTTAAATAAAAGTCCAGAAGTCGGGTATTATATAATGAATAGCTCCTGCGAGTTCTTGCCGCGGCTATGTTAGATTGTGACGTCAGAAGTACACGCTGCAAATTCTTAGATGTCATATATTTAAACGAAACTTTTTATATTAAATCTCTGATATCACAATTTCAACACGTTCGGCGAGCAGCCTTAATTATGTATATTTAAAAAAAATACATGATGTGTTTTTATTACAGTCCCACGCGAGTGGCAAGGCGAAATGGGTCGGCGAATGCGGGCTGAGTTGCGGGCCTTCCCTGGAGGAGTCGCTGGTGCCTGCGTTGGAGAAACTACGGGCCACCTCGTGAACGGCGTCGGCCCAAGCACCGCCAACCATGCACAAGACTTAATCCATCACCATCCATCTAGTGTCACCCATCACCATTGTGTGCGAGGTTCAAGAGAAAAAGAGAGAGAGAAAAAGAACGCGTGAATGTGGACCGCGGATGATATGCGTTATGTTCCTGTGGAGAGCGGCTGATAAGGGGGAGAGAAAGGAGGCCTCTTCCGGACTCCTGCGGCTTTCCTCGAAGATATAAAGCCGGATCCAGCTGGTCCCTCGATATCGGGGACCAAAACGTCGTCATTATCATCGTCGGAAGTACAAAGCTACACGTCCACGAAGGATTCCTACTTTCTTCTGTATCGAATGACAATTCTGTTATAACACGTTGCTTCGAACTGTTATCGAGAATGGACTTTACTTTCGGAGGATTTACACCGATTATTTTTTTAAATGAAAAGTTCGCAATTATCTTAGCGAAATTAGGAGATAGCTAATTTGCAAATTCGCTGCAACAATTGTAGAATTTTTTTTACCCGAAAATACGGCGCATCCGCAAAGTGGATCCTTTGAATGCTTTTTAGATTCTATCGCGATAGTTTGATAGAGATGTGTAGCATTGAATCGAAAAAATTAGGTATGAATTGTACGAAATACACTCGGATAATTCCGAGTGAATCTCGATTTATCTGACGGTTTGTATATATAATATTCGAGATGCAAACTTCACGGTAAGAGAGTAATCTTTAAATTTACGTAGACACATGAACGAAACATCTTATAATCGAAACAGCTTTATATCTCAAAAGTTAGACAAATCAATTTTGACCGTCCTAGTTTCAAGATATCAATTTTGTTATCATTTATTCGTCGTCAGTTATTGCTCTTATAGAAGTTGAACTTTCCAATTCATGCCGTGTACGTTATTTAAGAGAACGTGTTGTTGAATCCGGTCACTGTAATAAAAAATAGTAATTTCTAAAAATGTGTTTTATATGAAAATAATATAACGCTATTTTGACATCTATGCGATATAGTTAGCTGTTATCTGAAGACAATCCTTGTCTTACAAATTATTATTTTCGAAACAAAGTGACCGATTCACACACACTTATAGAAAAATTCAATTTCTTACCGTAGATTGATTATTACGAGTATTTTCAATTTTTTAACATCGAATTGCCGCGACTTCGGCGAAATTTTAATGACGATAGCTTAAAGATCTTCGGTCGTTCCTACAACAGTCCGAGGAGCCGGTCTTTCACTTTACTTATTTTTTTTTTACGTAACGAAAGTTACATCTTGGCCTCTCGGTCGTGCAAGCGAGCGCGAGTTTGCATTACGTGAATTCTAGAATAATTTTTTAGGCAACAATTAATCGATCGAGCGATCCGATAGCAAAAAGGTGTTCTGTCGACGACCTTTCGCGTGAGAGCACGACGTATCGGTATTGTAAGGAAACAATTATTCGATATATCGCTTATATAAATTGTCACAACTATCATCGGCGAATCGAGCTTTGCGAATGTATACGATTATAAAAAATTAATCAAGGTTTTTCGTGCCTCTCTAGCGAGGGCTTAGTGTTAATGTATAGGAGACAGAATCCGTGTTTATCTATTACGAGAAATGTTAATTCCACAGATTAGAGAATTCGAAATGATTTTTGCACGTTGGTACGACGTTGCAAATTGTTAATACAATGTTTAAAAAAAAGAAGAAAAATGCATAAATCTACAATTACATGATAATCCGATTGTGTATTGTAACGGAATCAATTAAACGAATCTCCTTGAGTCTATGAAAGTGTAAAAAGAGTCGATTATATTTATAGCGCGTTTTTCGACAAAGATACGTCTTGCTCGCTTTAAATCGTCTGCTTTCCCGGCGAGAGCTTCTTCGCTAAGTTGTTGGAAGAGAAGCTCGGTCTCAAGTGCGCGTGATTGTCTCTCACGCAATTCAATTGTAGACTCGACACAAAATAGAGATTGCGAGTGCCAAAAATTTCACGGACTCTTGAAAAGTGAATCTCGAAAATCAAAATCAAATTTTTTCTCCAATGCTTTAATCGCGATTTTTTAAAGCACGATATACATTTGTTTTTTTTTAATATTTTTTGTAAAAAAATTTAATTATTTAAATATATAAATAATGTCTGTATTCGTAAAAAATATTTAATTTATGAGTTTTAATGTTATTTACAATCCATTATTATATATAATGTTCTTGTCCTTATTATGTCATTAATATGGCACTTGCAGGATTGCTTGTGTCAAGTCATTTTCTTGGAAAGCATTTACGTCGTGCCAATAACTTTTCCGGATTTTTAATCGTTTTATAAGAATTCCGTGCCGAAAGTCCCCCTTTCTTAGCGAGATTAGGAACAAAAGAACGTTTACCGATTTTCCTCAGCAGTATGTATACTATATATATATTGCGAGTGCGAAAATACATGCTCATCAAAATGCATCCTCATTTATTAAATTAAACCGTAATGTATAAAACTTTTCTAGAGTATTAGCTCGCAGCGAGCTTTAGTTTAATGCTTTAGAAAGTGTCCTCGGTAGTAATTTTTATTTAATCTGTAAACTTCTTATTTATGACGAATACTGCAAAAGTATGGGTTTAATAAATACTTGCAAAAATCTATTGTGTGGCTTGTTAATGTAAGTTTTACCATCTTTATCATTATCCTTCTACAAGATAAATATTTGTATCCTTTTATAAGTATAGAGAGATTAAGAAATAATATTTTAATATCTTTTTCTTACTCTTATTTATATTTTCTATAATAAATGTAATTTTTTATATGTATATTGCGGCAAAATAGTTTTATTTAAAATGTAAAGTTTTTAAAATGTACTTATACCAGAATAATCCACCGTGTGTAGTGAATCATTTAGTTCCATTGAATAAAAGATCTATCAATGGTTTATTGACATTTTTCGCATCTTATGTACATTTTGATCATGCCAAGCAGCACGTTCACACTATCTTTTTACAGATAATTATACAGATGATAATATTTTATATTTATATGTCGCGTATTTTAGTACATTATTCAAAGTCACATTTTACGCAGTGTATTATCAGTACGATTATTAGAAAACGACATAGAAACAGTTTTAATTAGTAAAAAATTAAAATATTACACGAATATTATTCATTTATAAATTTATTTACTTATTTAATATGCATTATTTAATTCCTTATCACTTATCCTTATCTAATACTAAACTTGAGATATAATAAAATAATTTTGACTTAAATAAAGAAAAGAATGAATTACTTTGAAAAGATGCAGTGTTTTTTTGTAAAAGATTATTATATATAATAAATAATACATATATATAGTTGGTTTTTAGTTTTAACATTTTAACAAAAAGGATTGCTTCTATGTCGCCTTTCTTATAAAATATTTAAGTATTCCAGCCGCAACAAAAGTGATTGTTTTTTAAAAGAATATTTGCTTCTAATTATTTTTGCACATAGATAACATCTATCTATAAATATTCAAATGATTCAAACAATTTTCAAACGAAAAAGTATAACAGACGGTGCGAATATTAATTTCCATAAATTTGCAAAAAAAGAACATTACAAAAATGAGTATTTAAAAATAAATTTTTTCAAACAATTCTGTATATCTCTGTAATGCTAAAAATATATGTATACATAGTTACAATAAACAAAATTGACATCGAAAATAATGTAATAATTGCAGTATAGTGTTAAAATACTATCGCGTGCAATAGTTCACAGAACACCAATGTTTTGTTAATAAATAAAAAATACGAAAATTAATTATGATCGTATAATAAATAATTCCTGTAGAGAAGATGAATAATTAATTCAAGAAACTCCTACCAGCAGAGTATTTGAATGTCGTTAATAATTTCTTATTAAAATTTACAAGAATTTTATTACATAATGTATACTTTTATACTTCAAGCATAATGATGTTATTCATTGAGTTCTTCATTTGTGTTTAGCTATGAAAGCACCATTGCACGCGAGAGTATCATTGTACTGTGGCTTGAACGCAAAGAGATCGCGATACGTAACCGGATACGTCGTATTATATTACACAGGAGGAAAGAAAAAACGCATTTCCTCAAAATGTCCGTATTCTATATCCGGGCTCCTCTGTTTACCGCGATTCGTTCTAGTTTTGACTATTATTTTATGTTAAACTGAAGCACCGATTCCGCTGAGCGAGATCGAGCGAACTCCTCTGTACAAGACGAGAAGATAATAATCTCAGCATCCTACAAGGATCACTAATCCTGCTCGCGACTCGCGGCGCAAGCGATGACAAGAATCAACTTTGGTGCACTATGAAGTTTGTATATGTGTGTAAAATAAATTAATACCTTTGCTGCGCACAGTAATAGTAGTAGAGCAAAGATCGCCGCGACGACGATTCTCCCGTTCCGTTACTTCGATCTAAAAGTATTATTGAAACGATTATTTAAACAGTATCGAGAATCTTGCGCAGAAAATTCGTAGGCGATCGATGAAAGGCGATGGTTTTTAATATTCTATTTATAGAATTTATTTAATAGGAACGAATCGCTGGTGGAACTGTCGCGCATTCCTGTTCGTCGAGGGTAACGTCGATCACCGGTCTGTAGTCGAGAGACACCTTAAATGCGAAAAATTATAAAATTAAAAATTAAAAATGATTATTTAAAGATAAACTAATTTTTAAATCTCATTAGTTGTGTTCAATCTAAATAAATGAAAAAATACCTCTCCCGTTCTCGGATTGATCTTCGATAGCGTATGCTTTCTCCAATGCTGATCAAATGGCTTGGGCTGCTGGTTCTCGATCGGTTTACTATAGTCATACTCGTCGATTCTGTCTTTGTAATCTTCGCGAGCATGCGCACCGCGACTTTCCTTTCTGTTCTCCGCCCCTACAATGGTCTGCATCGCGTTGATCATAAGATTTTGCAGCTCTAATGTTTCTATCAGATCGGAGTTCCATATTAAAGACCTGTCTGCGACCTTCACTTCGTCGAGTTTCTTGTAGAGATCGATCATCTTTCGATTGCCTAAAAGAAGTTCCATAATGACGTTACACAATGTTCGTAAATCAAACGTGCAGTCATGTTATATAAGCGCGTGCTTTTCTTACCTTCTTGCAAGGTTTCGGCATCTCTAAATACCGCCGCGTGCGTCTGCATGGTTTTCTGCATGGTCAGCCGCAAGTCCGCGGTGGATATGGAACCGTTGGCGTTTCTGACCCAATCTAAGTTAGCCACTGTCTCTTCGCCTGCGTTCTAAAGAAAAGAAACAAATACCATTTGTTATATACTGTTCGTCTTATAATTAAATCAAAAGTAACTTGTATAAAACGCTTGTAGCTTATAAAAAAATATTCGAAATAATAACTCACAGGCTTGAGAGAGCCGATCGTCTCGCCCGGCTTATTCTCCTGGGCGATAGTTTTAGCGCAAGCACGTCCGAATACGACTAAATCCAACAGAGAATTGGCACCTAATCGATTGGCACCGTGAACAGATGCACAACCTGACTCACCACATGCATACAACCCGGGTACTACTTTATCCTCATTGTTTTCTCTTGTTAACACTTGACCCTTGTAATTCGTTGGTACTCCTCCTGCAATTTTAAATATTACATTACAGATTAATCTTAACACTTTTCATAAAAATTATAGAAATTATCTTAAATAAAAAACAAAAAAAGAAAAAGAAAAAAAAGAAATACATTCTTATGTTCTGTTTGATAGTTGCACTTCAGAAGATTTTCTTGCTAAGAAAAAAGTCAACTGCGATATTTCCAATGTTGGCGTCATCGCTTCGATGATTTCACGCATTGGAGTCATCATATATATAATATCAAGATACATATGATATAATATCAAGATAGTAAAATGTAATTTTAAAATTATCTAATTATTAATTAAAACTACCCTTTCTTTTTCACAATTAAAACTTCTAAAAAGGAATTAATTGAATTTACGTACCCATATTGTAGTGTACGGTGGGTATGACGGGAATGGGTTCCCGAGTCACGTCGACACCGGCAAATATCATCGCTGTCTCTGAAATTCCTGGTAATCGAGCGGCCAATTGTTCAGCCGGCAGGTGATGTAGCTGCAAGTAAATATGATCCTTCTCCGATCCGACGCCTCTAAGCAGAGAAAAAGAAACTATATTTACCACGAATATTTCCAAAGATACAAAACATCGACGAGTGATGACTCACCTGCCCTCTCGGATTTCCATTGTCATAGATCTGGACACTACGTCTCGCGATGCCAGATCTTTCGCTACCGGCGCGTAACGTTCCATAAACCTTTCGCCTTCGCTGTTTATCAGATAACCACCTTCGCCGCGACTGCCTTCCGTGATCAGACATCCAGCACCATAGATACCTGAAGATGAATATAATTTCTGTAATTCATATTTTTTATTTCATCTTTTTTGAAATATCTAAAAAAAAGATAGAATTTCTATAGTATTTTATCTATTATATTATATTAATATTACTAAAGTAAATAATAATATGAATAAATTAACTTGATAAATTATTAAATATATTAAAAATATGAATATTATTGATATTTTATTTCTTATTAATTATCTCATCACTATTGTTATTTCTAAAAAATTACCTGATTATCTCAAGACCTCATTATTTAAAAATATGTTAGAGCGATACAATTCTGATGCAATGATTAATATACCTGTGGGGTGAAATTGTACGAATTCAAGGTCCTGATTAGGCAGATTGGCTCTGGAGACCATGGCAGTGCCGTCACCGGTGCAGGTATGTGCGGATGTGCAGGAGAAGTAGGCGCGTCCGTAGCCTCCGGTGGCGAGCACCGTGTTCTTGGCGCGGAAGCGATGCAACGTTCCGTCCTCGAGACAGAGCGCGATCACACCGCGGCACTCGCCGTCCTCCATCAGCAGGTCGAGCGCGAAGTATTCGACGAAGTAGTTGCAGTCGTAGCTCAGCGACTGGCCATAGAGCGTGTGCAGCAAGGAATGCCCGGTTCTGTCGGCGACGCAGCAACATCGGTGAGCCTGGCCACCCTTGCCAAACTTGAGCGATTGACCGCCAAACGCGCGTTGATAGATTTTGCCTGATAAGAATGATAAAGTTCAAAGTTAGAATTGCTATATATATTCATTTATTTTTATTAATATTATTATATTTATTAATATTAATATAACAAATAAAATTCTTTAGAATTCCATGCCCATTTTTTTAGATATTTGAAAAATATGAAATAAAACATAAGAATTACATAAAATATGTTAGAAATTGAGCAAAGATATATAAGTTTATTAAAATGCAATTTTAACATTATTATTAAGATACATAAGTAATGGAATTTCACAGATCTTCAATTTCTTTTTAAAAAGTTTTTTAAACTAAATTATAATAAGTAAATATATTAAAAAAGATAATTGCAACACGTATCCAAGTATACGATGATAAGTAGCAAGCTTCAACTACATAGCAACGAAGATGAAATTTGTTATTTTCATATAGTGTTTCGAAATATTTGCATTTTATTTTCTCGATTGCAGGGATAAATTCTTGCTTGTTAATTTTACTTCTTACCAATAAGTAAGAATGCATAAGTGCATAAATAATTATCGATAGGACCACGTATACCTTTCGAAATCATTATTAAATCATGGAAGATGACAATAGAAAAGAAGAAAATAACGAAGTAAAGAAGACGTAAGAAGTGATGAAACTGGATCACAAGAAAGAGATTCTAGTAATCAGTATCAATTGATACCGAAATCCCCTTCTAATCGTAAATCCACGCGAAATGAGTGAGTTACATAAACAGCTGTGATATGTGTAATTGCGACAGATAAACATGTCCAGAAACTGTTCTAGAAAATATATTTATTTTTAGATACATTATTAAATTATATAAGAAAATATCTATTAAATTTTAAAAAATCCAGATTTTCTCAAACATTATTTCTATTATTTTTCCCGTATAATTCAATTTATTATTTTCCTTTCGCCGTAATTATACGGTGTATATTTGAACGAAGCTGATTCGCATTTCACTTTCAGACAATACAACAGAAGATCATCTCGCTCACGATCACGATCGCGTAGCAAACCTTTGCGGAGAAAGCAGTGGAGAAGCGCGAATGCCTTTCTCAATTTTATGCAAGATTTCAGGCAGGTAACGATAATCGTGAAAATTACAGAATAACATTAACGAGCTTTATAAGTAAAAAATTATTGTTATATCGAAAAATTACAGGATTATAATAAAGTGAAGAGCAAAGATCTGCTTCGACTCGGAGGACAGAAGTGGCGACAAATGTCATCCGCAGAGAAGATGCCTTATGTAAAGGCGGCTAAGCTAGCGCAACAATCGCAGCAAAATAATAAAAATGACCAGCAAACTAAGCCCAATAACGGCGACGTCTCGAAAAAGTCGGACAACGAACAAAAAAAGAAAGAACGAGAGGTTTATATTTATTCAATTAATTATCATTTTTTTCGCATAAACTTACGCCATCATTATGCTGTTATATTCAACAAATATGTCAGTAAATCATTTAAAGCAAAAATTCAATTTTCAAAAATTTATACATCATGAGAAAGATATATAAAATATATCTATACACGAAGAAAATTTTCTTTTAGAATTTACCCCGAAAAACATGGTAATCATAAGACGATATTGGTATTAAAAGAATTTTATAAGAATTTCTCTGATTAATATTTGCCACAATAAAAAATATTAATATGTATATAGTAAAATTAATCAAACATATTTTTATATCTTATTGTGATAGATATTAATATTTTTTATTATGGTAAATATTAATCAGCGTTATAAAATTCTTCTAATATTATATTGTCTTACGATTACTATGATTTTCAGAATAAATTTTAAGAGAAAATTCTCTCTGTTTAAAAATAAAAATATCTATATATATATATATATGTATATATGAATATATATATATATATATATATATATATATATATATATATATATAAATTAGACTGATCATTCTCTTGTAATATTTTGATGTTATTTATGTGTTCAGAAAAGAAAAGAGAGAAGGCGTTCCAGAAGCAAGACATACGATTCCGACGCGGAATCAGATTCCGCAACCTCGGGAACAGGCGTGACTAGCGAGGATATTTCAGATCTGAGTTCTTAGACAATCTAAATTGCAACAACAATAATATCAAGAAACATGCATATGAAGTTATTCCGTTTACTTTCATCAAGTGTTCTAAAATTTGTTTGTATTATTCTTGAAAACGTGAATAAAGTTTAAGACCGTATCAAATAGCTTTAATATTATATTAGATCTATCCTCAGTCATATTCTCTGTATTTTCTTGCAACATTATCTATTTTTTATTATTATTACATCTATTACTATAACATTTTTTAAGGTTCCTCGCCGCGGCTATGTTAGATTATGACGTCAGAGGCGAGAAAGCTGAAAATTCTTAGATGTTATTTTTTAATGAAAAGATATTTCGATGAAACACTATTTCAGATGGCTTTAGCACTTTTAAAATACCTCGAAAATTATTCTTTTCCCTTGACAGCTCAATCAACAACCATAAAAATGATCTCAGACTTCGGAACGACTGCGCAAAGATCAGGCCTCATATTATAGTCATTTTACATATGTTGATTGATTATAAAGGGAAAAGGATAGTTTTCGAAATATTTTAAGACTGTGCTAAAGTGCTGTTTTCATCGAAATACTTTCTATTTCGAAATGGTATCCAAGAATTTTTAACGTGTTTTCTCGCCTCTGACACACAATTTTAACTTTGTCGACGAGGAGCCATGCAAGAGCCTTAAATCTTCTCTATTTCTTTTTCCCTCTATTATATATAAACGCAGACATATCTCGTTCTGAGAATAGCTAGAAAAACCAGTCCTCGACATTAACATCTGCGCTTACCATCGGTGGTTCGGCTGAAGGGCATGCCGCAATTCTCCAGCTCGATGACAGCTTTGGGGGCCTCGCGGGTCATGTAATGAATAGCGTCCTGATCGCCCAACCAGTCCGAACCCTTGACGGTGTCGTACATGTGCCACTGCCAGTTGTCCTCCTCCATGTTGCCCAGAGCGGCGTTGATGCCGCCCTGGGCAGCCACCGTGTGCGACCTCGTCGGGAACAGCTTGGTGATCACCGCGGTCTTGAAGCCCTCGGCCACCAGGCCGTAGGCCGCCCGAAGACCAGCACCACCGGCTCCTACCACCACTGCGTCATACGTGTGGTCCACCAGCGGGTATTGTTTGGAGATCGCGTCGGAGATCTTGGCCGCTCGGCCGTCCGGTGTGTGATGCAGCTTCCGGTTGCTGAGTAGCGGCAGTCCCAGCTTATTCTGCGGAAATTGAAATAGTAAGAACGAGGAAATGCATATATGTATGATTAACAGTAAAGTTATAAATTTTTTTTTTATTTTTACTTTTATTAATTATTTTATTTTTATTTTATATTGAACTAATCAATTCTAAAGGGATATAATTTTGACTCATTATAAAATTAGCTAATTATAAATTCAATTTATTATAAAATTAAAATATCAAAAAATATTTGTTTATTAAATTATAAAAAAATATTTACTTATGAAAATATAAAAAATTGAGTTATGTGAGTACATGATAAAAAATTCAATAAATTTGATGAGCAAAGAAAAATAAGTAAAATTAAAAGACCTTATAGGTTGTAACATATCTGATAATATATAAAAGAAAATGATACAGGCATTTGCACTCTTTATAGTTTTCCGCTTTATGGATTAAACATGTGATTGCTGGAAGGAGCTCTAATTATTTCCTTTAGGATTACGAGTTATGTAAGACACGTTATTTATAATGAGTCACGAACACGCAGCTGCGATCGCGTGTGTACATACATATGTGTCCGATGTTATGTTCGTCCAATTTGTGCGACATGAACACGAGTACAAGATTCGTTAGTTACAGATAAAATTTTATGTGTCGTTATTTCATACCGTTAAATGTCACCAGAATATTATAAAAAGAATATGTCGCGCACAAATTTACAAATTTCTCTTTTTAAAATGCAGTAAACAAAGTATTTTTTGATATAAAGCGTTTGAAAGATATAAAAGAATATCTATAGGAATAATAATCTTAGAAATGTAATGTTAAAAGTTTTTCACAGATAGCCGATAAAAAGTATAATGTTCTTATAAATGTTCTTATGTAACAATTTAATGAGAAATTATTTTTACAAATAATGTAAAAGTGATATCCGCTGACTGATTGGCTAAGAATTGATTTAACTGACAATAAAGAAAAAAAAAAACAAATAGCGAAATTAACTTCTTCATTCCACGTCCTACATATTTTGCATAAAATTGAAATAATACTTGCACATTGTATCGCACTTAGAAATACACGTAATCAACATTACTTAGATTGCAGATTGCATTATCGCCTAGATTGTTTGGAAAACGTAAATTTTCCTTGACATTTATCGGTCAATTTGCATATAGGAATATTCATCAAAGATAAAATAAACATTTTGTTGCTCGAAAAATTGCATAGCAATATCAATATATTTCAATACTTCAAAAAAATTCAAAATGCTGCTAAAAATTGAATCCTATATGAAATTCTTGATTTATTACATTTTCAAAATATTTTGGCAAATTTTTTCTAATTTATTTAATTAATGTTTTCCAATTTATTTAATTTTATTGCAAATTTAAAAGTTTCAATACTTGAAAATTAATAAAAAAAAGTAGACATGCAATCTGTCTAGATACTTTGTAATCCATCATGCAAACAAAATCGTAAAAAATAATGATATCACGGAGACATGTATCGCGATTAAACAGTGTAAAACAGCCAGTATCTTTAAATATATGCGCTCTCAAAATTTTCTTATCTTTTTAATAAAACTCAGCGTCTCTGATCTGTTATCAGAGACCCAATCTCGATAAACAAGTTGGCGCTTTTCGATAAATCGCACAAGGTTGTTTCATAGATATGTATAATGTTGTAATTCATTTTATACTTATTTCGATACATTAAAGTTTTGTGCGAAAGAAAATAAATTGTAAAAACAGAATGAAGATGTAAAAAAGTAAAACTCGCGTTATCAATTCAGGTGACATCGAGACGAGATTCCGCGAAATAAATCGCCTCGCACTTATCGCTGTAAGTTTACGTCAAACATCTATATCAGTGTTTTTTATATTATTTTTTATTATCTACAAAATTATTATTCGACGTACAATTCTTAAATCCAATCCAATTAAATTAACCAAAATAACAAATATCAATATAAATAATATCTTTTATGAAAACTAAATAAGATGGCCATCAAAAAATCTTGTAACTTTATTTTCAAGTTACTTAACCGAACTTTGTAAGATACAAAGTACAAGAGATTGAAGTGTTGACGAAAACTGAGAAATCTAGACTAGGATATACTATATATATATATACATATATATATACATATTGAGTCACGAGAGCACCGTTAGACGCAAGCAGCCCTCGTTGACGTAACATATTGTGAGACAAAGCATATGGGAATAGATAAATAAATGTATAATATTCCATCCGAGCCCCCCAGGAGACAGTGGAGAATCGTCGAGATAGAGAGGGAGGAAAGCGAGGGATGTCGCGTGCACCCACGAAACACGAGGCAAGACGGCGCGTTTCCGGGTCGCGCGCACCTTACGTAATTGATCCGCGCATCGGCGACGAGATGCATCCACCACCGATGGGCAAAAAAATTACATAACTAGTCATCGGAAAATTCGCGCTCGTCTCTCGGTGGACGGATTCGATCTGCGTCGCGGGTCAATATATAGGAAACGCGAAAATGGGAATTTTTGTAAGATGGCGCGAGGTAACGCCGAGATTCTAGGCCAGGAGGCCAGGTAACGCGAGGTTCTAGGCCACGAGAGGCCAGGTGCACCTCGAGACCGACCTAACTTCGCCCCGAATTTCGTCTCGCGGTGAAATAAGGATTCCCTCCATTTTTTCTCGCTTTTTTTTTCTCTCTGTAAAAGTCATTCTCCCCCAACAATTCGGAGACGAAGTTGCAATAGCTTCTAGGTTCTAAGCCCTATGCATTGTCACGTTCCCTTACCAAAGTCGCCGTCCCGGACAGATTCCTCGGCAGCAACGAGGCCGACAGCTTCAGCAGTCCGCTCATCTCTTCTGTCACTCTCGTCCTTGTCACTTGAATCCTTCGTCGAGATACGCCCCCCACAAGACTCGCACGCACTCGCCACGCGACTAACCCCCTGAGTGGCGGCGACGAATCCCCGAACCCACGCTTCGCTTCGATCCGCACGACTCGGCGGCTCGGCACCGACTGACGCCGAACCTCGCCGGAAATCGCGCGCGCACAGTGCTGCCAACGCGTTCGAAAAATTGGAAAGGCGCCCTTTTTGCGCTTCGGATTCTGTTTCAAACGAGGTCGAATCGAGAGTGCACTCTCCCCGAGTCTCGAATTGTCGAGGGACCCCGAGGATTATTTTTCGATTAGATTCTCAATCTTTTTATCGCGTACGCGCGAATTAGAAATGTCATCGCGCGCGCAACTTTTACCAGCTGCCTTCGCGCTTTACGCATGCGTGTCGAGCGACAAATGTCAAGTAATGGGGGCAGAAAGGATAATCAACTTTAGGGAATATTGACTTTAGAGAGTATCAGCTGATTGAGAATAGGGGATTTCAGCAAATGCGACTTTGCGGAGGTATTGAAAGAAAGAGGCAAAATACAAATATAGTTATAAATATATAATGTGTAAAATCAATTCTAATTAATAGATTTGTTCTATGCTCTTTTAATTGGAGATTCTTTCGCAAAAAAATGCCTATTCAAGTTTTGAAGAAACAAAGAGTTGAAAACCGCGAAGCATGAATAAAATTTACTTCTTTGAATTAAGAGAGATAAAAGAAACTAAATAATATGTTTATATATTGTTCTTGACTATTCAACATAACTCGAAGAACGTGACACAATTAAAACGAAAAAACAACTTTTCATCTATTGATAACATATACATAAAAAGTTTTGCGTGGGAGTTTAATTGTCACAAAATTTCTTCACCACTCGAAAATCGACATCACATTTTTTATGACGTATACTTTATCACGTTATTTTTATTTACATTTATGTTTACACGCTAATTATATATGCAATTTTTAAAGAGAACTATTTTTTATATTCTATTTATATCACGATATATTTTTTTCTAAACATTTATAAATATTCTATGCATAATGCACGATGGTATTCATAATTTACACAAATTTATATGAAACGGATACACGATTAATACGAACTGACATAATGAGAGATCGTCTGATATATTTTTTGGATTTCTGTGAATGGATTTTACATATATAAATATTACATAAGTTTAATAGAGAGCGAAACAAGTTAAAAATTATTGGCCTCTCTCTGTAAAGAAATTGATGCATTTATAGTAAATAATTTATTCAACGCATTTATTATTGCGATATATTGTAATATCGTTATCAGCGAAGTTGTGATTAACGATTATCTGTTATGAAATCGCAACATATGTCAAAGATGTAATTATTAAGTGAGCTGAATCACATTTGCTTTTTTTCTTTTTCTTTGTTTTTGTATAAAAAAGGAAATGTCGATCATCATTATTGAGCGTGCAACATTCTTGTACTACTTTTCTTTGTATCATCGTCATTGTTTACAAGGCGCACAAGAATTCAAAAGAATATTTTCTGAAAACTTCTGAAACCTACTTAAAAAAATATATATAACGTCAATCTCGATTCATTTTTTCCTTGTAATCTAATTGATACAACGTTGAACTTAATTAATTCTACCTATGAATCACACAGCTAACGTATGACACATGCAAGGATACCGAGAAATGCATAAAAAGCTTATGCAGATTATCATCTGCACATAAGAAGTAATATATTTTTATGAACAAAAATTTTTGCATAAATGTTGTGACGATTTCTCTGATGTATTAGTTTTTCCACATTTAATGTGCTTGATTTGAAATATGGGGTTAGTGATAACAGATAGCTGATTAAATTCACAATCGCGCAGCTGTCATTACATTTTATTAATTAACCGACTGTTTGCAATTCAATACGCGCGAACTGCAGGCGGAACATGTTGAGCCTCACTTTCATCTAGAGTCGTGTCAATAACAGGCCGATAAGAGATGCAAATCTGCAAATCAAACGTAAAATCAGAATCACAATAGTCGAAAAACGAACTAAATCTTTCAAATTTTCATCAATTCATCAATTTCGTCAATTTTATAAATATTATATATATATATATATATATATATATATATTTTAAATTAATGAATTAATTAAAAATAATAATTATTTTATATTTTCTATATATATAATCTATAGTATATTATATTATATATTATATTGTATCACAATTGATTTAATTTTGATTACAGATGCCTAATTAATTTTGTAAAGCAAAATTAAATCTGATTTATATAAGAACGCATATCTCAACCAACCGATCCATCTTCCTGGGCCCATGTAAGCGTATGCTTACGCCAGTGTTCCGCGTAAGGTCGTTTCTTCTGTCCTTCGAGTGATTTTGTGTAGTCGTATTCATCAATTCTCTCCTAGAAATAAAAGAAGTATTCCAAATTAGTAATTAGAAAATTGATCTTTCTCGATCAATCGATTAAAACCCATAAGTATTTTCATTGAAAAATTTATATTGATAAAAATTCGAAAAATCTCAACTATGTACGTGTATTATTTATTTGCTCATTAATAAAACATTAATATTTATAAGATATTCTAAATTTTCCGCATTTAATTCTCCTTCATACCTTGAAGTCGTCCCTGAAGTGCGAGCCTCTCGACTCCTTTCGATTCTCGGCCGCGTAGACAATGTGCATGGAAACGAGCATCATATTTTGTAGCTCCAAGGCCTCGACGAGCTCAGTGTTCCAAATGAGGGACTGATCTTGCACCTAAAAAAAAAAAAAAAAAAAAACGTTCAAAAGCTATTCAAATGTATATGTGCACTTCTAGATAAAACATTTGTCGTACGTATCATCGTCTTATGCAACTGTGTTACGCCATCGCTGCGCAATGTAGCAATGCAATTATCGCAATCTATCACACTTATTTTTTTAATGTATTCTGAAAGTCGGAAAACGGTCGAATATCTTAAAAACAATGTAATTTAGAAAAAAAATTGCAAATAAAAATTGATTTTTTTAATCAAAAGTATTAATACTTTGATTATCGATGAAGGAAATTCACATACGCACAGAAAATTTTGACGAAATTAAATTAATAAAATGTATAAAACTTGAATATTTATAATATTTGTGATACACATATGCTCAGCATTTGAATTACTTATAATATAAAATGATTACTTATAATATACCTTCGTTCATAAAATAAAATTGTGTGTATGCGTGTGTGTGTGTGTGTGTGTGTAAGTAGTGTATAATCTACTTACACATAGATCCGGTAAATCGCATGTGTACAGACGGGTTATCTCCCTACATCCACGTTGTAAAATATCACAAGATCTTAATACCGAACAATATTTTTGCATCATGCGTTGCATCTCGTCGCGCAGCTCGACCACAGGAACGCAACCTTTCGCATAACGGGTTGCATCGAAGCGACAAATCGACTGTTCACCGATCTCCTGCATCCAAATCGTGCTTTGATAAACATTTGTATGCTAATTTTCATAAAATATGAATTTTCTTAATCAGCGATTTGAATGCGCATTTTTTCGCGCCTTATTATACTTTTAATGTGAAAAACTTAATTATTAAAATAATATAGTACAAATATATAACATGAAAAATAAAATATTAAGTTGTGCATGTCAAAATATTGCTCAAATATATTGTAGTAAAAAAATTCTCCCCTTTTAGAGTATCACCAAGACAATAAAATTCAATATTAAAAAGCGACCTAGGCGATATATTATAGTATTTGATTAAATAATTAAAAGTTGATTTCCCATCGAGATAAGTATAGATGAATAGTATTTCTGGGAAATATAAAAAAACGCTGTATTTTTTACTGGTGACAGATCTTCGTGACGTTCGCCAGGTCTAGCGATACAGTCGATTTGATCGGCGATAGCTTTGCCAAAGACCACTAGTTCCAGAAGACTATTAGCGCCCAGTCGATTAGCGCCGTGAACAGACGCACACGCGGTCTCACCAGCTGCCCAGAGACCTTCGATCGGTCTGTCTTCCTCGTTTTCTCGTGTTAATACCTGATAACGTGTTATTTACGAGATACAATTACAGCGTCGAGTAACCGTGTCGAGTCAACGTCGATAAATTGGATATATATAATCTTTTCTATTATCAAAATATGCACATTATTTTACACATGTAACGAAATTATCATTGAGAATATATATTTAACTTATTTTTGTTCATAATATCAAATATCGAACAGAAAAAGAGTAACAGATTTTTGCCAGTTAGAGATAATTGTATAACTGCTATGATAAAAAAATAATAAAAAATAATAAATAATTGTACATTTTTTATTGTATTTCTTACTTGTGCACGCCAATTCGTAGGTATGCCGCCCATGTTATAATGCACCGTGGGAATTACGGGGATCGGTTGCTTTGTCACGTCTACTCCGGCGAACACCCAGGCGAGGTGCGAAATTCCGGGTAACCGCTCGTGTATCAGGTTGGCTGGCAGGTGACTTAATTGCAAATAAATATGATCTTTCTTTGGTCCGACGCCTCTGTAAAGATATCACGCCAATGTATTTTTTCTCCTGGAAATCTGCTACCATATGCGCCAGATTTACATAATGACGCGTAACTATAATTGCATAGCGTAGCTAACAGTTTAGTTACGAATGAAAAATGCAATGAACGTTGCTTAAGCAAAAACAAATGTACTCAAAATAAATAATAATTGTCAATTATACGTGTTCTGTATACAAGTTGAATTCAGAAAAAATGCAATTCACTAAAATTACAATATTTTAACTACTATACATATAAATCTTTTGAATTAATATAGCTAATAAATTAAAATAAATGTTTTTCTAATAATATACCTTATTGTTTTCGTGCAAGATGACATCCTTAAATTTGCTATATTTCTTTTACGACTCTTATTGCGCTATAATTGAATTTAAAAAAAAATGCGAATTAAATTACAATTAATAAATTCCCAACCTTCCCTCCAGTATTTCGATGGTCATAGCTCTGGAGACGATGTCGCGGGAGGCCAGATCCTTAGCTACAGGCGCATACTTTTCCATGAAGAATTCCCCGTTGGAGTTGAGCAGTTTGCCACCTTCTCCTCTGCTGCCTTCAGTGATGAGTATGCCGCTGCCATAAATGCCTTTAACGCGAAAAACGTCAGTCGATCAGCTGATCGTGAGAGAACAACAAGAAATTGCGTCGATGAATTTACGACGATCTGAGAATACCGGTCGGATGAAACTGGATGAACTCCATGTCCTGCAACGGCAGTCCTGCTCGACATGCGATTGCCATACCATCGCCGGTGCAGGCGTGCGCAGCGGTGCAGGAGAAGTAACATCTTCCGGAACCACCCGTTGCGATTACCTGTAAAGCGATAATGCATTTCAATTAGCATTAAATTTTACAAAATCAATAATAATCAAGTCGATGATGAATGAAAGAGAAAATGACTTCTCCTGTAAAAATATAAGAACACAGAGAGAATTTGCTGTTGAAACTTACCCCAAAAATCTATTTTATAAGAGTTTCTCTGATTAAATATTTACCACAATAAAAATATTATATCTACCACAATAAGATATAAAATATGTTCGATTAATTTTACTATGTACATATTAATATTTTTTATTGTGGTAAATATTAATCAGAGAAACTCTTGTAAAATTTTTCCAATATCATATTGTCCTATGATTATCATGATTTTCAGGGTAAATTCTCAGAGAAAATTCTCTCCGTGTAGATCAAATATAAATATGAAAATAGACAGACTATATAAAAGCCGACAAATAATATAAATTCAATAAGGAAAATATGTATAAATCTTGTGATATTTTTCTTTACCGTATGATGAGCCCTGAATCGATGCAGAAGACCTGTCTCCAGTTCCCACGCAAGAATCCCTTTGCAGCATCGGCCGTGCATGAGCAGATCGAGAGCAAAATACTCGATGAAATAGTGTACATCATAGCGAAGACTCTGTCCGTAAAGGGTGTGAAGTACCGCATGGCCAGTTCGATCAGCGACAGCGCAGGTTCGCTTAGCTTGTCCACCTTTGCCGAATTTCAACGACTGGCCTCCGAAAGCGCGCTGATAGATCTTTCCGTCTTCTGTACGACTAAAAGGGCAACCTGCGAATTTCACAATTTTGTTATTTACTTTTTATTTAATATTACGGAATTAAACTGGACTCTTCCAGTCTCGCTCGCTTCCGCCAGACTGACAGAAACCGCAGGGTGCTAATACGATTCTAAATTTTAATAAATTATAATAAATTGATTCTAAATTATAATTATTAAATTTATATATAAAATATATATATATATATATATATAATCTTAAATTATTAAATTCTTTCTTAATTTCTTCTCTTCATAGAATAACCGTAGAATAATTACATTTATGTTGACTTTATATATTGTTGTGTTTATACCGTAATTTTCGAGCTCGTAAACTGCTCGAGGTGCTTCTCTCGCGAGCAAATGTATCGCGTCCTGATCACCCAGCCAGTCGGATCCCTTCACGGTGTCATACATATGATAGAGCCAGTTGTCCTCTTTTCCTTCGGCGATGGCGGCATTGATGCCACCCTGGGCGGCGACGGTATGCGACCTTGTCGGGAATAATTTCGACACCACCGCTACGCGGTATCCTTTTCTGCCGAGACCAAAGGCTGCTCTTAATCCTGCGCCTCCTGCTCCTACTATCACCACGTCGTAGCAATGATCTATGAGAGGATAGTTCTGCAAATCAGTATATAGATAAATTAGCAATGAAATATACTAATTGAAGAAAGAATTCAGAAAATTCACTTTGTTAAGGGAAAATTTTAGTCAGAATTAAGAAATAATTTATAAATATTTTTGAATATAAATTTATATATTTCAAATAGATAGGAATAAGAATAAATTAAATTATTTATGAAAAGATAATATCATATCAGATGAAAAGGAATTACGGACAAAAAACTTGTATATAGTTGATTTCCACATACTTTTCTGCTTAATTGATAAGAATATTGAATTATTAAGGAAAATTTATGTATAAGAAGTTTTTAATATAAATTAATATATATTTTAATAACGTTAATAATATATTTTGAAATGCTCTTACACTGCTGCTGTTGTCCACACCGCACTTTGCCTTTTCCGCTGGACTAACATTGACATGAAAATTTCGCGAATTTCTGATCGTCGTGCGAGACTGTCTCGCAAATTTCTAGAAAAAAATTAACATTAAATTCACATTAAAGATAATATACATTTAATATTATATTGGAGCCTTACAAATATTCCACGTGGTATTAGTCGATGTAACATCCTTGCAAATATTTTCTAGGTTCGAATGCGCTTTAACAACTGTCATAATTGATAAAGCTCTTTCAGCTTCTGCTTTCATTTGTCAAATAATAAAACAAATGAAAAAAAATTTAAATAGCTGTAACATATTTTACATTTATATATAACATTCAAAATCTTTTCTCGGAGAATCCAAAAATTAGAACTGTTAAATTTGTACAAGCATCGGTTTATTGCACTTGCAAAAATACAGTTTGAGACGTATATAATTTATATCGATTGCATACAATTAGTTTAAGACACATTCTTTCAAGTTAAATGACCGTGTCAGTTTTGTCAAATGTTTATTTCTCTCATATTGTTACTCTTTGGTATATTCTACGAAAACCAGAGAGTCAACGACATCCTTAACAAATTACTCTTATTAGAACTGTTACAAATAATTAGTATGACAATAGAGACTTATAGCCATAATATTTTTTATCTGTTTTCTCACCTTATAATCACAATTAGCGGAGATATTTTCTACGCTTCTCAGCTCTTAAAAAAATAGGATAATGAAAAAATATAAATCACAAAATGTATATAAAAAATTATTAATCATGACAAGACTTTTATGAATTTATTTTTTCTTTAGCAAAAATTTAACAAAAAATAATTATCTTATTTATATACTTTCTCTTTATTTATCGGAACACACTTTCTAAATCGATTTCTATATTCCTGTATATTTTACAGAGATACTCTGTATATTAAGTTACATTTTATATTTTCAGTATATGTGTAATAAATAATGCAAATATCTTTTCTTACTAAAGGATAAGATCCACTTGATATCATTGTTAAATCGATTGTGCATTTTAATGATGCATACTTTTAATTTAATTATAATTAATCTTCTTTTTTTTCACAACAATTAAGAAGTCTATCTTTATTAAGATTAATGGTTTGAACGTATTTCACACTTATTTTTTTCTCGTTAGTTTTGACTCGTTAATTGAGCGAAGTTGAAACTGGCAACTCATCTAATGACTATCTTCTAATCTTATTCTACGATCGACCTCGTTACATATATGACTTGCGACACAAGAGCCTGCGAAAATTAGGTGAATTAAATGAGTTGATAGAAATTTATTTTCACGAAATGAACCGCCTAAGATTCAAAATAGAAAAATTATTTCTCTATTTTCATTTGGAAATATATGTAAAAAATGATTGTGCCGAATATAAAATGTAAAGAGACTTTTTTTGATGTTCATTAATTCAGAATAAATCGAATTCCTTCAATTTATGTTTTTATTTTATTTTATTAGAATTAAAAAAATTAAATTCGACAATATTGAAGTTTTCATTTAACCTTTTCTAAAATAAATTCCTATCAATTCCCTTTTAATTTTCTTATTTTCAACAGAAAATGCATTTCATCCTGCTTCTCCTCATTCGTATAAAAACTTTATCAAAAAGTCGCACTTGTGAATTTGTAGAAAAGAGGATGGCTTCTGCGATCGCTTAGCGACACTCGATATATGTGTGTACATATTTATTTTGTGACAAAAAGTTCTTATCAATATATATATATATATATATATATGTATATATAACTAGACTACTCAAACGTAGCGAGCAAATCGACGCATCATAGAAAGCGAATTAAAGCAGATAAAAAAATTCTTCAGCGGTAAAAACGCTACCTTACAAAATTCATAAATGATATAATCAAAACTCTAAGATTTTTTTAAAAAGCCATCTGAATAATATATTGTTTTACATACCATAAGGAAGTTGATCCATTGTCTCACTGTCAAAGGATATTATTCAGAAAACAATTTTCAATTTCGAGAAAAAAATCGAAATTGCAAATTAATATACTACTCTTTTCCTCAGAAAATATTTCTAGAGTATTCTCACTCTAAAAAAAGACATGCTTTCAAAATAAACAATTGTAACATATTCTTCTTTCGAAAGAATATTTTCGCGGTGATATCTTTGCTTCACTTCTCAATATTAAAATCGATACGATGATGATAATAATACTCGAAGAATGGCGATGCGTTTTCACAAGGCAAGTCTTCTGACGCCGCATTCGCAGCAGAACTTGGCGGTTTCCGGAAATCGCTGACCGCATTCGTGACAGAATTTCGACATCTTGTATTTGTTCATCGTCGTCTGAGTCGGCGACGTGCCGTTTCTGGGGACGTCCTCGTCGACACGGCCGATCACGTCGTTGGTGCTGCGTCCATGATGCGAATATTTGCGATTTAAACTGAGGGACACACACACGGAACTGGGTTTTAAGCACGCGCGAACACAGGTGAATGCAAATGATGAATGGGCGTGATCAACGCGTCTGGCGATGATTAAAATTTATAATTACTAAATTTACAAAGTACAAGCATCGAAATTTTCAGATCTATAAGGAAAAAGCCTCCTTGTTTTATCAAGAGTTTCTATTATGTGTGTCTAAATAAGTGCGAACAATTTTAGGAGATGATTCTTTGTCAAAAATTAAGGGGGTTTCTTATATAAACATATACTCTTATATTTCTCTCTGAGAAGTTACACACTTTTCTAAAGAAAGAGGTAAAAATTAAATTTTTTTCTCAAATTTCAGATTAATTATAAAAATTAAACGAAAAGTATCCACCAAGTTTTATTTTTTTGTTGATATATAATTTTTAATTAATTAAATTAAATTTAATTAATTTATTATTATTAATTTATTAATTGAACCTCTCTTTAGAAAAGTGTAACTCCTCAGGGAGGGAGATATAAAAGAGACCTCTTCTTAATTTTCGACAAAGAATCATCTCCTAAAATTTTTTGCACTTATTTAGCTACACCTAATATAAATATACAAATTGAAGATAAAAGATATAAAATACATTTGCTGGTTGAAAAATGTTCAATATTTCTAAATAATGAATTATTAATGAAAAACGATCACTTGAAAATGCAATGTTAAAGACCAACCTGCTGTAGGCGGAGTCGTTGCTCAACTTGCTATGATCCCTCGGCTTGTAGCTATCAGGCGAAGACAGTTCTCCATCACTGATGAGGCTGCCGTTCCGCTGTCTGTCACCTCCGGAGCTGGATAGGTCGAAGGATTCATTATTGAGGAAGGAGCTCAGATTAAAGTCATCATCCTCCTTGAAGCTCGTCATCAGCTCGTCGAACATCGAGTTCGATCGCTTGACGTCTAACTCCGAGGAGGAAATGATCGAGCTGAGACTCAGGTTGCTGCCGGACAGGGACGAGTAATTGTTGTTGCTCCGATTGAGACTCTGATCCGACGACCTTGACAACGACTGATCCTCGGCTATCGTCGAACCCTGGACCTTCCTGACATCGTTCGAGATCTTTCTATCGGAGCCCAAGTTGCTTCTAGGCGCAGACGAGGCCCGGATCGAATTGGACCGATCGATCAACGGCTTCGTGACCGCAGACGTGACCTTGTCGAAGGTCATGCGGGGTCTGTCGGCGCTGCCGACGACGCCGCGGCGCTCGTCGACGCCCAACGCTTTCGATTTATCGATTATGACTCGCCTGCCCAATTCCTTCACGGGTTTCAGACCCGTGACATCTGTCATATCCTTACTCGGCAGAATGGGCTTCGAGAGGAAGATCTCGCGCGAGATCGAGTTGGTCTCGGTGGAGTCGCTTGAAAAGTCGGATACAACATCGTCGAATTCGATGGGAGGCTCTATCAGAGACGACCTCCTGTGAGGGAGTGGATATTTCACGAAGGCGGAGGAATGAGAGAGCGGATACAAATTGTTGTGATTTTGTTGGAGTTTAGGACTCCCTGTCATGGATTGGTCGCTCATGTCCGACAGCAGATCGTTCATTTGTTGTTCGGCCAGCAGAAACGGATCGTAATCCTTATTGCTCGTGCCGCTGAAATTAACATTTTAGAGATTAATGTCATTTTTCTTCCTCTTTGCAGAAAATAGTTTTGTACAAAACAACGATAAACAATCCAACGATATTGCGATGTGCCTGATAACGAGGTGCGTCTTCATCTTCTATATTAAGCTGCACATGTGCGCCAATCAATTTTTCAGGCAAACGTGATGAACAAACATTCGTGTATAACTCTGACTCGTGATAGAACCTACTCTTGCTAAATGTACATCATAAATTTAGAATCAATTTTTTGAAAGTTAATGAGAAATAAAAAGATTTTCGCGAAAATAAATAATAAAATATTTTTCGCCTTTTAAAACTTGATATAAATTTTATTTTAATCAGAGAAAATTCAGACTTTATTTATAATTAATTATATCATCGAAATATTGAATAAATTAAAATTTAAAAAGTTATGAAAAATGATATTCTATTTTGAGATATAATTTCTTTAAAAAGAAATTTATTCTAATAGTTTTCATTCCAATTCTAGTGTGCGGACACCTAATATAATGCTCTGAATTAACTAGATTAAAGCTAATCTAACTAAAAATAAACTAAACTAAATCAACAACAAATACATTTTGATAAAATAAAATCAGAAATCTGCCATGAGTCATTGGTTCCACGTTCTGGAACTTACGTTCTAGCTTTAAGCACAAGATTAAAGTCCGGCCTTCTGCGCACGTAATTGCACCAGGCAGGACGTGTCGCCAGTTCAATTTTCCTATAATATTGTTAAGACATTAACTACATAACTACCGACCTACCGAAATATGTAAAAGTATATACGATAATAAGAACGAAAAATAGATACGATTATTTTTTACAGTGCAATCAGCAATTCTATACAAATTTGACCACCAATTAAACAGCAATTTTTACAAACTTATACACACTGCAAAATTCTACTGTTTAAACATTAATGTCATAATATGACTGAGTCAACTGCACAAAATCAACGTTGCAGTTTTTTATATACTAATTAAATACTTACTAAACATATTAATTAAATGCTAATATATTCTACAGTGCATATACATTGCAAGATATGAAAAATTGAATAAAGATAATTTTTCTCTATTTAATATTCTATTTTCTATCTTAATACTATTTTCTACTTTCTACTTCTACCTTCGCTCGAACGATGGACTCGGAACTGGAGGCAGGATACGGACTCTGGGATTTCTCTTAGCAAACTTGTATGAATGTGTGTGAATGGAATTCAGATCGATGAATCTATTTGATGAGATCCTCGAAGCTTTCTCCCAGTACGATCTTTTAGAATCTTCTCTCGTTTCCGCCAAATCGTTCCTTATATCAGGCAGATCTCTGAACACTCTGCTCCGTCTCGGCCGAATTATTTCGATGCTTTCTTGCTCATAAGCATAATTCGTTTTGGGCTGCCTGATGTTCGCGAGGTCTATAAATTCGATGGAGGATATCAAGGAATCGGTGCTGTCGCGAAGACGATTCATGCTCTCTTTGATTTTGTGTTTGATTTCGATGGAATTTACTGGACGCTCTTGCGTTCTTCTGGGCAAGTCGTCTTTGGAAAAATTGACGCTTGTTTTTAAGAAGGTTCCGTCGCGCCGATACTGCGTCTTGTCCTTCAACATGACTGATGACACTAAATCATTAGCGTCTCGCGTGTTATGTTCTCCAACACACACAATAAAATCACTGTCATAATCAAATTCTGCGTTGTCTACATTGTCTGCGGTTTTCTTGCGCAAACCTTCGCTTGTTATAGCTTCCGTTTTAATAATCGAGCGACTTGATTCATCATTCGAACGTCCGTCTATGTCCGTATTGAAATCTGTTTTCCGATTTCTCAAGCAATCTTCGCTATTCTCGAAATTGTCGAAATCGAAGAATTCTTCTTGGTGTTGTCCATTGAATTTAACTTGTACAGGTATGTTTATCTGTACATGTATCTGACTCATTAGCAAGTATTGCCGAACTTTGTGGAAGTGATATTTCAGTATTTAATTCCTTTTTTCTCTCAGCATCCTTATTATAGAAGATAATTAAATCATTCTTGCGTATTTCTTCATTTATTTCTGTTTCTTCAGCATTTTTTGTAGAATATTTTTCTAGACTATTAGCTCGACTGGATGAGACTGGATGGAGAGAAGGTGATGTTGCTTTGATATTTTCTGTTAGATCTAATGAATTACAACATATTGCATTACTTTGACATGGTAACGTTTTATTTTCAGGATCAGCTCGATTACTGCAACTATTTAAAGACATTATATTATTTGTATCAAATTTATTACATATGAAATCTGCCGCGTTTTCCTGTTTGCAACATGCATCACTTTCGTATTGTAATATTTCATCTTTAAGATTGAAATAATCTTGCGTATGATTAATGAAGTTATTTGAAAATGTTAGACTATTTTTATCATCGGTACGAAGCGTTGGCTCTTCATGTTTTGAATGAAAAGGTTCGAAAAAATCTTGAAGAAGATCTGAGATGAGATCATTATTATTGTCAGTGGAACTCACCTTTAATTTTTTGAAAGATTCCTTGTATTCCTTCGATGCATTCTGTAAATGTTGAATATATTCGTCAAAATCCGATAAGTTTTGCTCATTTTTTTCGATTGCAGTATATTTAATACTTTCAATAATTCCATCATCCATCGCTATCTGTTTATCTTCTTTATCTTCTCTATTCATGCTTAATTTATCGAATTCTGCAACGTCATCCATTCTCTGTGAACCTCTTTCATCTTTGATATTTATTTCTAGTTCCTTTCTATCGTAATCTGCAATTTTATCCTCTTCATCATTTAGCCTCTGATTGTTTTTATCTTCAGTATCGATATTTAATTTTTCCAATTTGCGTTCCATCACTTCAGACTCTTTATTGTTCTCTTTCCAACTATCTTTGCTATCTGTTTTTACTTTCACTATTCTATGCTCCATTACTTTGGCTTTAGTGTTTTCTTTATTTTTAATATTCATTTTTAATTCTTGCTCTGCAACTCTTATCTCTCTGTCACTTGCTATAATTTTTCTGTCCGATTTTCTTTTATTAATTTCATTTTCGTTTTCTCTGTCCTTGAAGTAAAATTCTATACGAGGACTGTGTTTAATCGACTTCCTTTTATTATGAAGAATCTCTGGTGGTTCATTGTATATATCCTCCGAATCTTTTATCAAGTAAGTCTGATTCAGATTCTGAATGCTATTTAACCATATGCGCTTGTCACTTTCCAGTTTATCAACTTTGCTGTTTCTTAATTCGTTGTTGATTTGTGTAAAGTCGTTCTTCGTGATCAATTCTTTTTCGATTCTATTTTCCTTTTCGATCTCGTTTCCTTGCTCGCATCGTCGATCGAGATCGAGCAGCTGAAACTCCTGTGAGAAATTATAACTGACAATAGGATCGTTATATTGCTGATTATTTTTCTTGCGACTGAGCTGCTTCCACGTCACTAATTGATCGTCTTTTTGCGTATCCGTGTGTATCCTGCAAGGTTGCACAATCACGCCTAGAGTTTCATCGTTCACGGCGATATTGTTGATCGTCGGATGACCTCGACTTCTGGCGGAAACGATATTTTTCTGTGCTTTGACAGAACAGATTTCTCGATTTCTCATTTCGTCGTTTAGAATGCGTTGGGAGAGTGTTTCATTCCGATTATTTTGTTTCCTGGATAAAGTGGTAGCCGACGCGATCTCGTTGGGGAAGACTAAATCTGCATTGTTTTTGGATTTCGCAGGAGTCACAGGAAGAGGACGACGGGAGGATATAGCGAAATGAGAGGATCGGCACGATGTCGGTGTCAATGTGTCATGATCTTCTGACCTGAGGAGAAGGAAGGACTAGGATCAGGGATGTGCGCGATAATCATCAGGAGAAGGTCGTCGAGGAATAATTAGAAACTATATTTTTTTGAAATGGTCAATTGCATGAAAAATATTTTTTAAATATGTACTTATGCTTTATCGAGTATTCGAATATTTTTATAAATTTACATCTTGCAAAAATGTTTCGATTATTTTTACAGCACGTCATAATTTATCATAGAGTGCTTTTAAGCCTCATCCTTTTTCCTTCTCCTCATGGGCGACATTAGGTATCACGCGCTTATTTTTATCTTGTATAGAATTATCGAATTTTTATTTTCTCTCTTTTGAAAAACGAAAATAATAAGATGAAAAGATAAAAATCTTACTTGTTTGTCCGATCGATGAGACGTGACTTCATAGGTCCAGATGAGATAGGAGATTCCTTGAGCTGTCCAGGACGTTTTCTGCATGAAATATAATAAATCATAATCGAGTCAATTATAGAAATTTAAAAACGGGAAATAAAATATATTAATACTTAAAATTATATTTTTCTAATCTATTACTATTTCATTATTAAATGAATTTTCTCTTTTTATAAATGAAGAACCTCGAAACAAACTTGAGTTTGAGAAACATACTTACACAATAGCTGGTTTTTGCTTTGTTGGACTCTGTCGATTGCAACTGGTCACCGAGACACTTTCCTTCGGCTTGACAAGAGCCGGTGACGACGCAGAGGTCTTGGCACTTTGGTTCACCGCCGAGCCGGGGCTATATTTTTCACGAGTGATAGCTCGCCGGTTCTTAATGACTGGTGCTTTGTATCTCATGCGCGCTTCTAATCGCTCCTTCGCCAAGTTTGTCGCCGGACTCATCGGCATCCGGGTGATCCTGTCTCTGCACCAGGCGACGTGACGGTCGTAGGCTTTGATACCGAATTGTCGATTGCACGTGGGGCACGTACCCTTCTCGTTGGCGCGAGTCGGCGCTCCCGAGGGGATCATTGAATTGCATTGTTTATTGCTCGAGTCCATCTGGAAGAATAAATTTTAGGTATGAGAATTTATATTATTTGAGATAAATTTATTATTTTATTATTTATTTCTTTGATCATTTATATTTTAAAAATTTTTAATTTATATAATTTGAGATAAATTTATATTTTATTATTTATTACTTTTATCTTTAGTATGAAATTTAATTACAAAAGGAATATTTTTTAAAGGGACTGCAATAGAAAAAATCACGAAAGAACTCACGATTTCGCCGCGCGCCTCGCGGATGGTCCGCAGGAAGTCGTCGTGGGTCTTCTTCCAGGAGGACCTGGTCTTCTCGTCCTGATGGTGTCGCCGGGGCTCCTGCTTGGGCAGAAATTCAGCCAGTTCGGTGCCCTGGATCCTCTGCTTGGCCGAGTCGAAGGGTTTGCGCTTCTTGGTGGCGGAGCGCTCGCATATCCTCGCGTGCTTCTCCAACGACTGCGGCATGAACGTCCTCGCGCAGATCGCGCAGGGCAGCAGAATCGGCGGCGGCGCATCTGCGTCCATTTACACCGTCCAGCGATTAATGAGCTCCCGTGATTTTAAGTCGTCGCGGCAAGTGCTATATTTTTCTTTTTTTTTTTTTTTATTATTAAGACGGATCAAGAGCTCTCGCAAACTTAACTCTCTGGTCGCGATTATGTCTTATTTATTTTCTCCGTACATCTAAATTTGTTGTTCTGTCATTAAAGTACTGCGCGAACTAGAGCCTAGAAGACGTTTTTCTGTTTCCGTTATTATATATTTATTTTCTATTTTTTTTTTTAATGTCAAAGGGCACCAAAGTTATGGCTGGGTTAGTTTATATACGTAAATTGCGATTCTGCGAAATTTGTCCCCGACGTCATATGGAAATTCGATCTGACTCACCCCTTGTTAATCGCTATTCATTCTGACAAAGGCCACGAATCCGCGAATAATCGATATTTTCGCCGACAACACGTCGAGAGATCGCCAAATATGACAACAGATATACGTCAGTATGTAACGCGCGCAGGCGTTAGACACGTGCTTGTCATCTCAGCTACATAAATTGCTAAAAAGAAACTGCACACGACCAAAAACTAATTTAAAATCTGCGCGTCTCAGATTTAAAAAAATTATACATTTTCTTGAAAAAAATTCTTTAATATTATATATTCTATTTTTAATTATATTTCATATATATTTTCATAAATATATCTTTTTTTTTAATTATGTTTAATATATAGATTTTAATTATATTTAATATATAAATTTTAATTATATTTAATATGTATTTTAATCATATGGAATATATATTTTAATGATATTTTAATATATATTTTAATATACATTTATACTCTTTTCCTAAGTATTTTGTGATGCTATGATACATGTACTCTCACTTTTGTTCTCTTTCATAAAAACGCGGCAATACAATACGCCGCTGCATATTGAAAGTGTAGAATCTAAATTGCAAATTGCACTTTCTTCGATCGCAATGGAAATTGCGCAACGAATAGCTACAGAGTTCTCTTCTTGCGAGATCGTCTCGAGAACGCCCTAGTTATTACGAGTTATGCGTTGCGAGATAACGCACAATCAATGAACCATTCAATTTTAAAAATCACACAAGTCCTACACGTTTCCTTACACAAGTTCCGATGACACGAATCGATAGATTCTCAATAGTTGTCATTTTGCATTATAATTTCCGGCAAGACAAACAGCACAAACGTAAAATATGACTAAAATTGTCCGCACGATAACAACGTCACTTTTTTACACGTCGCACCAGGTGAGTTTCGTCGCATCCTGTCGGTCCTTCGAAGACGGGAATTTCGCGATGACAGTTTGACTTATCTCGATTCTGAAGAAGGATTGAGCGATCGATCGCAAGGTGCGCAATATCGCGTGGACACCTGCGGCGCCGATGACGACGTCGACGAGGACGCCGAAGAGTCGCCCCCGCGAGAGAGACTCGGCACATTCTCGCCTACGGACGAGCAAGCTTCCTTTTTTAGGCCTCCCGCGAGGTGAACCTCGGAGCGATCTCGGAGAACGTTGGAGTTTCGTCTTCCTTCCGTTCTCCGAGCGAGAAGAAATACGCCTCTTATATTTATTCTCGTCTGCGTCGAACTTCTTTTTATTTTCTCGGTTACATCCGAAGTTTGAAGTATATTTAAAATAAAGTTAAGTATATCTTAAACTCGTGGTGATCCTTTATTATCTCGTCTCCAATGTCAACATCAAGCGACACCATACCCACGTTTACATGCAGCGGAAATGTGGGTCACCGCGTTTGCCTTCTCGTCCACGATGTGATTTTCTACATCCCAACGCGTGCATTTTTTTTTCTTAAAACTCTATTTTTTCGATTTCTAATTTTTATCCAATTTTTATAGATTTTTTATTTTTCTATTTGTTAATTTTTATTTTTCCTATTTTGTTTTTTTTTTATATTTAGCTTTGCATTCTCGGATGCTGGGGACCAAGGATCTCTCTCTGGGATCTTTCATGCGAGAACGCATGAAAACAAACATCGCGACGATATAAAATGATCTCATTCCGTCGAAGCCGCTTAACGACGCCCACGAACGACTGTTTTGCTTACGTTATTTTACTCTTCTAAGCGAGTCGCGCACGCATTAGAAAGAAACGACGACAGAGTTTTTTCCACGTTCTTCCCGCGTCATGTCTAAGGTCGACGGGACTTTTAATGCATTTGCTAAGCCGGTGCAAATTGATCAGTATGCATGCGGCGGAGGCACGTTATTACGACTCTTATGGCCGTTTTTAGACGTGAGTGAGAGGAAAATAAATGCAGCGTTCAGTAACGTTATCTAACGCGAAACAAAAAATCAATCTTTCAGTCTTAAATTTTTTTAAATTACTGTAAGCAATTTACTTTAAAAAGAAGATATAATTCCGTAGAAAAAAATACAAATTATTGTATTATTTTTATAGTAGAGAGAATTCAGGGTTAAAAAAATAAAATATTTTTAATAAAGCTTTTTTATCTCTTCTCTCTCTTTTTAATTTAATTATAATAATTTAGTGCTTTAAACGACCATGTTTGCTTTAGTTTGATTTGAAAAGTAAGAATATCTCAAGTGTGTATACCTGTTCAAATGTAAACAGACATCTACGGTGATCCGAATATATAATATAATAGTAAACACATAACTTCCTAATTTCAGAAATTCCGAACTAAATTAAATTCCACAAGGAAATTTGATTGTGTGTTAAAATTCGCAAATATTTTTGACATTCATTCAAACTCGCACTTTAACATTTTTTCTCCTCGTAGAGTTCCTCGTTTTTATCGCGAAATACACTTTGTGAGACAGATCAGAATAAGCACAAAGTTCGCATTTTTGGACACGTCGATATTTTACAAAATAATTATATCTATAATTCGATGATTAGAATAAAATACTGTCAAACCATACTTGAGCAGACGAGAATTTTACCTTTCTCAGGACACAATTCGATCCAAGTTTCGCGGATAGAAAGTGGCGTCTTATTCGGAGCTTCGTTGGGAAACAAGGCCTCGTCGTCGAACGGGGCCTCGTCGTGGAACGGGGCCTCGTCGTGAAACGGGCCTCCGTCCGCGAGTCTCTTCGAGACGCAACACAGCATCTGATTGCGAGCACATCAAGACACCGACTGAGAGAGGCTGCGCGAGTTCAAGCCGGCTCTGGTTGTAAGAGCGGCGCTCTTACAATCGTTGTAATCGCGACGAAAGTTTATTTTCGGTCCCATTGCTGTCTCACAAAGTGCGATTTTCGCCTTCTTTCTTTCTACACCTTGCCGTGCAACGGAATCAATAGTGCAAAGTGAAAGAAAAAGTATTTGACCTCTTCTATTTTTAATAGAAAGTATTTTTTAAATATATATTTTTAATTTTTAAATTCTATTATTGCTTATATGTATATGAAACCGTGTAAATTCAAGCGCCATACTTGTAAAATATAAATTAAAATTCAAAAATGTGCAATTGGCAAATAAGTTGAATTAAATTGGAATAACAATTTTGATGGAATTCCTCTTGACATAATTTCCTTTGCACTATTTCTTTTTTTCACAAGTCTCGTTATGATTATTAATTGGTGATCACAATTGATTATTTTATATATACCTACGATAAAACATTATCGAACTAAAGGAAAAAGGAAATAATTTATCGTACATTAATGTTTTCATTTTTTCTCTAGAAAATTATTAAAATAAATTTGAAGAAGAAGAAGCAGTTGCAAATATGCGATGAAACCATAAGCGTATATAGTGATTATCTACCACATGCATCCTTCTCGCGTCTCCGTTCTCCACGTGCACTTTGAAAATCCGTTCTAAAGTCGCTCCCTATTACGAAATAGAGGTCGATAGCTTCTGTGCGCCGAGACAGTTTCCTGCAATATTTCTTGTAACTGTGCGCCGGTGACCGCGGTCACGCTGTTTACCCTATAATTAGAATAGACGGGACCCGGGGAAAGAGCGCGCCGGAGATGGACGGCGACGACGACGACGGGAAGAGTCACGGAGTAAACGGAACCGAGAATCTCTCGCCGTGTTGTCGTTCGCTCGTCGTAAATATACACGGAACGATGCACACTGCGGACTTACTTACCTTCAGCTTCAGCCATGTTAGTCGTTAAGGGAAACACTGGTCGTTATGGGAACGCGTACCGTGAACCGTGCGTCATCGAGCTCTTCTCCGAAGTAGGGATCGTGCACCCTTTTCAACCTTTTTGCGATACTCTCCATTTCAATCTGGAAAAGAAAAAAATTGTTGTATTCTCTTTTATATAAAATTATTAAAATAAAAAAAAATCACGTGAAAACATTTTCGAATTTGCTTTCAACTTCAAAATACAGATTATGAAATGAATATTGTACGCTTTTAAAACTAAAAAAATTAATTAACATTCTCAAGTATTTTGTCAAAATATTTTTTATAAAAAAATTTGCATGACTTTTCAACAAAAATTAAAATTATATTATATTAATATATTATCAATTTTATTTATTTATATTAACAATTTTTATGAAAAAATGTGTTTTTACTTATAAGAAATGTATGAAATTTAGAAAATGAATATTATTTTATTGCGTGTCTTTTCTTTTACTTTGTCTTTTCATCATGCCAAATTAGACGCGTTCTTCTATTTTTTAAATATTTTTCCAAAAATATACCATGTGCTGAATGTAAAATTTTGACATCTGTCATTCAAAGACGTCTGTTTAAGCTGTTTACAATTTGAACCGCTCCGAACGCGTCAGCTGATCGGTATGCAAACGTCAAACACGTACATAAATATATATATGCGTATACACAGTCTGAAGAATAACATAATACATCTACCTTTTATAACTACACTATGTTGCATTTTATGAAATCGAGAAAAATTGTAAATATGTTGAATTATAATCATAATTCATAATTTTTTAAAATACGATATTCAATATATTAAAAATTGTATATAAAACGTATATTAAATTTCGATGATGTTCATTTTTCTTATGGCATTTATAAAAAAATACATTTTTACTAATTGTGAGAACATAGAAGATTTTGTTCTACTCTTAAAATCTTATTAGTAACATAAAATTTAATTTTAAGAGGTATTATAGTTTCTTAAAATTTCGCGGGCTTATGGCTGAATGATACGTCACTTATCATCATAATGATAATTAACCTTCGTCAACGATAACTGTATATTGTTATACTTTGTGAATCAAGTGACATCGATGCCACTCGACTTCGAGTTTCAAATACGTAATATATAATATACCTATATTTAATTTGACCTAAATCATTTAAATAGAATAAGATGCAGCATAGTAACAGAATGATAACCATTTGGAGATTCTTCGTCAAGAATAGTCCCACTGTTTCTCAGGTACTTCATACTTTAATGATGTATATGCTTAATTTATGCAAATTGCATAATTATATAATTGCATAATTATATGATTGTACAACTGTGGTTATGTGAAATTTACATATATTTATTACGTATATTACAAAATTATTTTGCTAACAAGAATACATTCCACTTGACATTACAAATACTTTGAAGTATTTGAATTGAATGACTCGAAGTTTTTGTAATGCCAAGTGAAATACCTCTCACAAGTCGCGTTAGCTCGAAAATATCGAACTCGAATCAACTCGAATGATATCAGCACAAATCGCGGGAACAATTTAAATGATGTGCAAAAGCAAACTTCATTTCATAATACTATATAATAATAATAAATAATTTTAATTAGTGATATTGCTGACTGTTACAGACAATAAATATTACAAGAACTTTATCTACTGAAAGAAAATATGTGGAGACGACGGAAAAAGATGGGGTAAATATATATTACTATTCAGATATATTACAAATACTGTTTTCTTTTAATTTAGGGAATGTAATTCAAACTTGTAACTATTATACAAAAATTTAATCTAATTTTTATCGACTAAAAACACTTAAAAATTTTTAATTTTAATAATTTTTATTTATTACTTTTCTTTAATCTTGTATCTTAATCCTTTAATTAAAAAATTAAATTAAATTAAATTAAATTAAATTAAATTAAATTAAATTTTAATTTATTATACTTTCCTTAAAATTAAATTTATCTAAATGTACTTTTACTAGATATTATTAGCCTCACCTTATTTCAGATCAGAACCATCCGTTTGAGCGACTCTGCTTCGCGCAATTCCTTATCGTTAGAAATGCTGAAGATTTTGCTGAGAGAAATCAAGAGGGATGAGGACAACAAGAATCTTCGATCGATTCTACTGATATCCGAGCCTGGAAAAGTGTTTTCCGCCGGACACAACTTGAAGGAACTGGTCCGTAGTATTCCACTTCCGCAAAATCTCCTTATACATATTCATCATACAGAAAAATTATTATAGTTTACGTTTTAGTCAGCTACAAACGCCAAGTCCCATAAGGACGTATTCGAGACCTGTGCAGAACTGATGCGGGCCATTAGTCAGAGTCCAGTGCCGGTGATCGCGGCGGTGGACGGTCTAGCAGCTGCAGCTGGTTGTCAGTTGGTCGTAGCATGTGATATCGCGGTGTGCACGGAAAGAAGTTCCTTTTCTACTCCAGGGTATTTTGCAAATAACTCGTCTCATTACTTATTATTATCCTTTTGCTCATTATCCTGTTAAAAATACTATTTTTATTAATACTATTATATTTCTGGCAATCACATTAATATTAATTTTTTTTAGTTAATTATTACTTCTTACGTATACTTATTAATGCTTCTCGCAGGGCAAATCTCGGAATATTTTGCTCGACTCCGGGTATACCGCTGGTGCGCAATGTGCCAAGGAAGAGGGCGATGTATATGCTCTTCACGGGACTTCCTATTTCCGGCAGAGAAGCTTACGAGTGTGGCCTCGTTAGTAAAGTCGTGCCCGATGATAAGCTCGGTGAGTCACTATCGCAAAAAGTCATTATTTAGAATTAAAGAGAAATCGGTTATGTTATTAAATTAATTTAGATGGGACTAATAAATTGGTTAATAAACGTTTTATCAGATGTGAATGTACAATTATTAAATACTCTTGATTAACAAATGATTAAAATAAAGTCTCCAGTGATCACTATAAAAAGTATTATTAAATAATTTTTATACTTTAATTTTTTAGACGAGGAAGTCCGCCGAATTATAGATGCGATCAAGATGAAGAGTCGCTCGGTTGTGCACATTGGCAAAACATTCTTGTACGAACAAATGGATCTCGATATATCGACGGCATATTTTCTGGGCACAGAAAAAATGGTGAATAATTTAAAGATGAAAGATGCTCAAGAAGGGATACGAAGTTTTCTGGAAAAGAAAAAGCCGAATTGGTCACACAATTATGAGAAGAATTAATTACATTCAAATTTCGAACTTATCTTTCTCTCTCATTATAATCATGAATTATCCTATTAAATGTAACATCTTTTTATATACAAAATTTTTTACAAATGAATTGTACTTTTTTACAACAGTTATAATTTTTTACCTTACATACATATTATAATTTTAATATTGATACAAGTTTTTTGAAAGAAATATATATTATAAATCACATCGTTTTAAATGATGTCCTAGACGACTAATCATATAGAAATAAGTCTTTGAATCTAGACACACATGATTAAGTATTATAATAGACCGAAGTTAATTTTTGATAAAAGTGCTTGTCATAAAAGTTAATTGATTTTATTTCATAATTTTGAAATTTCCTGCTATTTAAATTATAAATATTCAAATATTGTACAATTAAAAAAAACTATTCTATTTTAAAAGAATTTGGCTGAATCAAAGTTTAAGTGATATTCTCAATTATTATATGATTGTTTATTTTTGGTCCTTAAATCTGAGTTGCACACGAAAGCACACGAGAAAATTTTATGTAATATAAAATTAAAATGAATAAAATATCGTGTAAAGGAGATTTGATTGCAGGATTTCAAAAAAATATATCGCAGAATCTCGAGAGATAATCCCACAGAAGAAAAAAGACGTAAACATGTAATAATAAATCATGTTGTATTTTATAAATGAGCTAGTTGCAGTTCATAAATGTAGTAAAATGTATTTACAATGTTGGTCAAAAAAGAAATTAGTTGAGGCTATAAGATGAAACTTTTGATTTAATTTTTAATTTTGATTAAAAACTATAAAATCCTTTGTCGCAGAAAAGAAGAAAGAAAGAGAAAATTCAAATTCAGTAGATTGTAAAAAAATAGATAAAGAAAAAATATAAGTTCATTTTGTGTAAAATTTCAGAATTCATCAAACTTGAAGAGTTTATATATTAATTGTGTAATGTATTTATTTTGTGTATTATGTACGAAGAAGTAATATTACAATTTCATGTCAATTAAAGCAATTTAAAAGTCAAGTTCACAAATCTCAGATAAAAAAACAACATTCATATCAGCATTAACAAACAAACCGTGTTATTTAATCTTTTAAATGAAAAATTTTAAAAATGTTTTAATTAAATGCATCTGCTCTTATATGCAAAGATTACGATAATATCGTTAATAACCGATGTTCTGTAAAAAATAATCATGTTGAAAATACGTGAGAGACTTTGCATATTTATAATTATAATTATATTTACTCGGAAATTTTCCAACATGAAATTTTCCACAGGAAATTTTAGAAAAATTCTTGTCTAATATCTTTTCATTCCATAAATATTTAAAATTTCTTGAATCTTTCGAGTTTTTTTCCTGTTAGTTGCGAATCAAATAAACATTTACCAACTTGTCACAATTTTACATTTTATTTAGTGATCATTAAAACATCATATCAGTTAAAGTTTTAGCTAATATGTACCACAAACTGACCCATTTAATTTTTACATCATGATAGACGAGAAACATATTTATTACAAGAGAAAATAAACAAGCGATGACCGACTATTGTAAAAGATTCGTAATATAGTATCTTATTTTCGGTCTCGTTTCGATATAAATTTGTTTGTCGTGATAAAACGGTGCCCTCCTTCGCGAGAAATCTCCGCTTGTGGTCTTGCACTAGACTGATGAAAAAATGACATTAAAATTTTCAACGTTTTATCCAATTAAACATTGACAGGCAATCCAATTATAACGTCAATATATTATTTACAACGACAAGTATATAATTTGTATAATTGCATTGATATGCAGGAATATGCAAAACAATATTCGTATGCACATTTTTTGAGCGTATTTCTAATATTTATTTAAACGCGTTTTTAAACTTTCACTACAGCTGAGTCAGATGAATCAGAACTAATACGACTCTCGAGACCAAATACTACGCAGAAGATATCTCGGTTCCTGGGTTCCAAGATAAGCTCGGATAAGTTCGCGGTGGTCGGACAACACGCGTCAGATCGAGTATCTCAAAGGCCGCTGATATATTGATCTTATTATACCGTGTATAACGAAATAAAAAAAATTATCTCTCTGTTCGACTCTGTCTGATCGACTTGCTTGCTTTTTCCCCGACCGAGCTTATAAAGAGACTTCGTGGTCGCGCCGGCGACCAGTATCGCTCTGACTTTTGTTATTTTAATGCGCAAAGTCGAAGAGATACACACGCGATACGTATATCACATACAGGAATAGCGAAAGCCGCTTTCTCGTATATCAATAACAAAGACAAAGCTCACTGTTGGTTGATGAATCTTACCGAGATTGTCACTGCTGACAGCTGCATGAGGCTTGAGGCTTTCCGGAGCATCGAAACTCGAGAAGTCATAAGACGAGACAAAAAGATAGGAAGCACGCGAAAGGAGAGCCTGTCGAGACGAAGACGATTCACCAGAAGACAGATAACGGAGTTGTTCTTCGAGAATTGCATCGGTCAGTCGACTTTGACAAAAAAATGACAAAAAAATTGTCGTCTCAGAGAATTGCATCTGCAATTAAAATGGAACATATGTTATCTTCGAGAAAGAAAAAAAATATTACAAAGTGCACTAGTGCAATCAAAAAATAAATATATATAAATATATATCTTCAATATGAAACAAAGAAATATTTTAATGCAGTAATAGTAAAAGACTACTGTGGCAATTATTATTGAGAACGAAGATCAAAGTTGTTAATAATAATAATAGTGATTAATGTGAAAAGCGTGATATGACTAATTGAAATATAAATATGTAGTCGATCGTGACACACACACATGCATATGTTATATTTTAATTTCTTACACAAATAATCTTTGCGTATTTCTTCACTGTATATTTATTAATAATGAGTAAATTAATTAATAAAATAGTAGTAGTAATTTTGTAAGAAATTTAGAAGTAATAAACACATGGAATATGATGCTTACTGTTTGTTCTGGAAACGTCGAGATTAAATAGCTCGATCTCTCACTTTATTTTGATAAACAAGTATAGAATGAAAATAGACGACTGGTCCAGAATAGAGGGGAGTAGGCGGGATTCCAATATCATGGTATTTCTCATCTTGTTTATATTGCAGATTGTGGGAAAAAATGGCTGCTATTCCGCAGAGTGCTCTTGCAGTGCACAAAGTTCGCTGTAACAACGAGCGTGCTGTTTCAATAATGTCTGTGAGAGGGGAAAAAGGAAAGAGCGAAGAGAAGGAAAATATGTTCAAGTCTTGGCGTCCTTTAGAAGGTATAAATCTCGGAATTTTTCAACTCGTCTCTTTTGTTAAAAATTTAATTTTTATAATCTATTTATATTATATATATATATATATATATATATATATATATATATATATATATATAATTATAGGCGTCCGCAAGTTTTTGCAGGGAGGAGTATAATTAAATTTTTTTTGTTTCTTAGTATTTTCTCTTTAATGTTTTAAATTCAATTTTTTAATTTTATTTCAATATTTTTATATTAAATAAAGATTGCAAATAAATTCCAGTGTTTATTCACAAGAAGAGCAAACGCTTAATTTTTTTATTGACGCGGACGCCTATGTATATACAATTATATGTAATGATTATATGTTTTATATTTAATTTAAATAAAATAATATATTTATTAATTTAATTTTTAGTAAGAGAAGAAAGAACGTTTTTGCGCGCTTGTTTGACTTAATATAAAATGAATGTTACTTACGTGCAGGCTGGGAGCTGACGCCGCTCAAGTACAACAGCAAGTTGATGAATAGTATTTGGGGTCTGTACAACCGCTACTCGGTCCACAACTTCAAGAAGAACGCCGATGCCGAGGAAGGGGCACGCGGCGTGGTGGCCGCGGCGATCTGGGGCGCAATTTTGGAAAATCGCCCTCCGGCCGCCAACGCCGCTGCTACCACCATCGCGGATGTCCCCCGAATTATGAATACCGGAAGTGGTCTCTAAACACGACGCGGCCATGCGATTCTGAAAAATCGCTTAAAGATGACAATCAATAATAATCGCTAACAATCGCTGACAATCACACACTTTTATACATACATATAATAAGAAAAAACATTTACTTTATATATATCATAAATAAATGTTTTCTCTTTATTTTAAAAATGAGCACAAATAACGAGAATGCATAATTGAGCGAAATACGGTTATAAATTCGCGAAATATATTGTTCATATCTAATAATATATGCGATTAATATAGCGAAATGTGATCATAATGAAATAAAAAAATAAATAAGCAAAATACTGTACCATGTGTTGACACTACTACTTTATCTACTAATAAGTTAAAATACAATTAAATTTATTATGTTCGTTCCGGAACAATGTTCCATCGATGAAATTTCAAGTTCTTCTACAAATGAGGTTATTTCAAATTCAATTACATCGAGGTTAGCGCCATCTGTCGGCCATGATCCAAACTTTTTTATGTCAGCTGTCAGCTGTAGCAGTGTAGAATTGATCTTTTGATTTGTATAAAGTCGCCCAGTGGCGCGTTTGATGTGATTGTGACTTTTTTAAACAAAATTGATTTAGTCAATAAAAAAAGAGAAAAGAGATGGCTCTTTACGATAATCAACACTGGCTCCTGTCACACATCAGGGACAGCTTTCTTGCTATGGACGATACAGGCATGTTTCTAAACCTAGGTTAGAAAAGTCTGACAATTGAGTCAAAATATTTATATATACTAATCATCAAACAAAGTATTCTGATACTGAATATTAATAATATAATAATAATAATATTGATAATAAGAATTCTTGATGAAACATCGTTGAGAAAGAGAGCTGTGTTTATCACAAACATTACTATTTTTTTGTTAGTCAATAATTTGATTTAACAAATTAAACTCAAGATCGTGGTCAAATGTTATTATAATACAAATATTAATATTTAAATGATGCAAATGACTATATTGTGTCGATATTATTCTTGAAAGGTATGTGCGAAATAGTAATGCTTGGAGAAGATATTCCTAAACAATTGAAAGCAAATGGAACACTGCAATGTTATCCTGGTATGGAGGATAGTGATGATGAAGATCTAGTTGCCCTGGCAGAATCATATGACATACAAATGGGTATATAAACATCTATTTGTTATGATTTTGTTTTGAAAGGCACTTATAAATATAAAACAAATCAGAATTCGAGAATTGTTCAGCTTAAAATTATTTAAAATTTTAATAGTGCATATTTTAATTTTATATATTTAAATATTAAGTTATATGTAGATATATATATATATTATATATATTTAGATATAATAATTATTCTTTAACTAAAATATTTTACTTACAATGTTCTAGATATGGAACCATACACTCACAGACAGAGATCTAATACTGCACAGAGACTGGAAAAGATGGACATAGAAAGGAAAAAGGCGGCAAAAGTCAAACATGTCAAATGGGAGCACAATCTTAATGCTATCACACCGACAGACCAATCAGAGTTGTTCCAAAGAAAAGACTTTCGTAGAAAAGCACTTCCAAAAAAGGGTCAATCTCTTTTGTCAGAACAACTCGAGAAATGTCCAAATTTACCACAGAATCCATTCAAAGATTATGCTAAGTTTGATGGAAATGTACGTTCCATTGGATTTTCTCTAGTTCTATTCTAATGAAAAAACTTATTTCCAAATCGTTTTAAAAGAATAAAAATTATATTACAAAACTTTGTAAGGAAAAATAGAAATAATATATTATTAAACTTTTTAATAGATTTGTAGTAACTTATTTTTGAAAAACATGGACTTATGTACTTATTTGGAAATTCCTTTATAGGCACAGGTCGGCATTCCTGTAAGAAAATATAGAATATTTATGTGTATGTTGCCAAAAGAGGAAAGAATGTATCCCCTTCAAGTGGTAGTGACGCAGATAGCACGAGTGTTGGACTTTATCGGTCTGATTTGTTACAAATATGCAAGTGAACATCCCGATCATAATTTGAAGTCTGTAATAAATTACCTTATGTCACCAGCACGCACATGCTTTATTCACGAAGTTTTGCTCGTTATTTTCAGGGAAGACATCTCGCGTTATGGACTGTATATCACTGAGGATGACGGCGAGGTTGACTGGGCCTTTCCTTGTTTAGACCCGCGAGAAACTATCTCCAAGTTTGAATTTACTACACTGGGTTTGATCGAGATGAAGCCCAGTGACAGAGCGCGGCACAATACTTTCAGTTGTGTCGTGAAGAAAGATGAGGAGGACCTGGAAGGTAAAGATAAGGAACAGGAGGAGGTTGCGAATGATTTAGCTAAGATGGAAGGTCATACTACTGCAATGGAGGCACCATTATATCAATCATACAGGTAGTTTTCTAATAATTGAATATCATAAAATAATAATTAAATAATAATTGATCATGAAATTTATAAATATTAGTGAATAATTAATAAGGCAATATTTGAGTCAATATGTTTAAATGTCAAAAATATAAATGTCTTATGATTTGTATATCTAGAGTACACATAATTAACAAGATGCGAGCAAAGACTGAGATTCATCTTGGGATATCGGGTGAAAAAATAGAGATAGATCCAGTTATAACGGGTAAAGGTGCTGCTAGGTTTTGGAATAGACAACGGGCAGTCAGTTATCACATAGACAATATTGCTTGGTGTGAAGTGACCGAGACTAAGGGATCAAAAACTATGTTCACCCTGGTTTATACTCCGCAATCCAGTGCTCCAGATAACTTTCTAAGTTTGTATTTAATTACTTTTATCTTAATTATACATATAACTATGCATATTTTTTTTATAATTATAAAATTTTTTTCTTTATAAAATAAATTTGATAAAAAATAATACTTTTTGAATTTATAATATTTCATACATTAAACATTCTTGTATAAGTATTTCATATATATTATTCTAATACTATTCAATACTATTACAGATCAAAGTCATTCACTTCATCAATCGGCATCGTTTAAGAATCACGATTTTGAAGCGGATTCTGTGACAGCTGAGGAAATCGTACGAAAAATTAATCATATTCTAGAATTACATAGCAGCCAATCTAGAAAGGAATATCTCGCGCAAAAGGAAAGAAAAGCTGCAAGAAGAAAGAGCTTTCATTTATATAGATGACAGCTCTACTGGTTACTTTGTGCAATCTTAGATTATTTGAAGCATTGAATATTAATATGATACACGACGTGATCGTACGCGCACATGAGTCGCATTGAAACCAAAAATACGGTCGAATTAATATTCAGAATTTCGTTGACGTACCAGACATGGAAAGTAGACGATCACTTCACAAACATAAAATTTAATATTGTATATTATTGATAAATTATTTTGTATTTATTATATTTCTACTCAATCGGTGTATGTGATAAATGTATCAATCAGAATCATTGTACTATCAAAATAAGTATTGTATAATTAATCGTGTGTAATGTCATATTTAATTAAGTGTTATTTATATTTTTACTATGAAGCTTCCTTATTACCTGCAAATTTGTAGACTTGTAAGAATAAACGATATCTAAATGCAACATCTATTTCATTCATCTTCTAGTTTTATAATATTTTTGGTAGCTGTAGATATATTATTTTCCATCTTTTCTATAAATTTTTGATTTAATCTATGTACATGTTGACTGAGTGTAGATATTTTTAGTGCCGCATCAACAATTTTCTGATTATTTTGATAGATATGTTCATAATTGGGACGTGACAGAAGGAAATCTCTCTCAGATTCTGTCAATAGATTTTCATCAAAAACTTGTCCTTTCATACTGTTTTTCTGCTTAGTCAGATTTTTTCGTTGAGTCTTGCGTTCCCTGTATTCTTGTTGCCAATCTTTACGCTCTTGCTTGAGCTTCTCTATATATTCTTTCAAATTAAATGCCTCGACATCTTTCTGAGCAATACATTCTTCGTTGACTTTACTTGATGAAAACCTGTTTCTATTAGGTGTACCTTCATTGCCTAGAAAAAGATAATTATGTATAAAACAAATTTAAGAAAATTATTGGGCCAATTAACAAGACAAAATATAAATAGGTTTTTAATTTATTACATAAACATTAAATGAATTAAATAAAACATTAATTAAATAAACATAAAAAATCAATTGTTTATGAAAAAAATAATTATATTTATTAAAACAATATTATAACATAAAAATAAATACATTCCTTTATCACATTAATTTTATAGTACTCTAATATCAAATATTTCATATAACTTATTTTTATAACATTTATAATTTTTTAATAAATTTTTATAATATTTTTAGATTAAAGAATTAAAATTTGAAAGTGACAATTTTTTAAGATTATGACACGTTATTTTGCAAAGTGAACTAACCTTCAGTTTGGTCGCAAGTTATAATTCGCGTGTGGAAAATCGACGACCTCCGTTTATAGACCGTCTTCTCGGACTGACATCCCTCATCGACGTGGGAAACATCGGTCGTAGCCATTATCGAGCAAAACTTCTTATAACATCACGTCAAAATGTTGTTTCTCGCTGCACAACATGGCGGCATAAATTTCAAACGATTTCAAACGAATTCGAATCGGCGAATCAGATGATTTCAATCATAAATCACACATGTTATGAGAGATAGACCTCGTAACGAAACAACGACGAGTTCCTCGAACGCTCCAATTTGCCATCGAATAGATAATTTGTCAAATGTCAAAAAGTCCCTGCAGCGTCAGCCAATCAGTGCGTTTGACAGATCTGGTTAGGATAGGTGCGATCCCGACAAAATTACAAGAATAAATAAATCGCAACGATGTTTCAAGAATATTCCAAAAACAGAACGCGATTAATCGTCAGATTTGACGTTTCGCGTGCGGTCAACTGTCAAACGATAATCGCGCGATAAATTATCTCGTTGAAATGTCAACCAGCGAGGAACCTAACCTAAAAACCTAACCTCCAAATTAACGAGGTTAGGTTGGCAGACCTGCGAACGCGTGCGGACGACCGGCGGCGCAGTGCTCGCTGCCAAAAAGGGTAGAGAGTGATGCGAAGATTGTCAAGTATCGGGTGCGCGACGACGGTGCGGTGAGAGAGCCTGGGTGTCCGGAGCGCTTGGGTGCGAGGAACGCGACACGTGAAGGACTCCTTCGCGCGGACGCGATGTCGAGCACTCTCGAGAAGAAGATCATGAGCCTGGAGGAACGGCTGCGTGCGGAGAACGAGTCGCGGGACAGGGATCGACAGGGCGGCGAAATCGGGGTCCCGAGCACGGGGCCTGGCCCGCTGTACTCGTCCACGGGGCCCCCGGTGTCGAGTCCCGCGCCTCGCAGACCTCGGCAACGTAAGCATCGGAACAGAAACGCGCGCGAGAATCCCTCGCTCGACGCTCGATTTTTACCCTACCTGATCGATAGCCCTCGGATGACGCGTCGCGGTTTACGTATCGTATAGGTTATGATGATTGAGTTCGATTTTCCTTGATCCTGAGGATCTTCCTACACCTCGGATGTCCCTGACGGATGATTAAATTTGATTTCTTTTCCGTGGTCGCTTTTTCCTTATTTTTATCTTGTTTGTTTATCCGCACTGTGAGCGGGATTTTTAATTAAAACCGTTTCATTGGGACGTTTTCATTAAATTGAAGCTAAATCTTATAAGCATTTTTATTATTATGTATATAATGTAGGGAAGTATATTAATTTGAATAATTAATGCAACAAAAACAAAATTTGTATATTAATTAAAAATGTTGAAGAATTGTCACTAAGCTATACTTGTAGATAAATTAGAGCGAAATCTTAAGCATTTTTATTATATAGATAATATATTGGAGTATATTAATTAATAATTAATGCAACAAAAACAAAATTTGTATATCAATTAAAAATGTCGAAAAATCACTAAGCAATACTGTTAGATAAATATCACAATAGCTCTTAAAAAAATTAATATAGTTTTATATTTAATTGAGAAATTATCTATTATAAAGATGCAAATTTATTATTACATTTATAAGCATGAGTTTAAACTTTTAAAAAGTAATTAAAATGCTTTTTAATTTTAAATTCAATAGTATTTCTGGATAGTATATTAAAATAATACGTTTCTCGATAGTTGGAGATATGGGTACCCCGACACGACCTAGAAGACAGTTGGATTTACCAGTATCGCAGATAATACCGCCAAAGAAGCATGACAGCGAGTTTGAGTCAAAATTGCAAGAGATCATGAAGATGAATGGTATTCTAAACATTAACGGCCAAAGATATCAGACAGAGATGAAAGATTTGGAGCATCTAGGCGAACTTGGTAATGGTACCTGTGGACATGTTGTCAAGATGAGGCATAAACCCAGTGGCGTTGTGATTGCTGTGAAACAGATGCGACGTTCTGGAAATGCAGAGGAGAATAAAAGGATAATCATGGATCTTGATGTTGTGCTCAAGTCACACGATTGTCCGTATATTGTACAGTGCCTAGGCTGTTTTATCACCGAGTCTGATGTGTGGATTTGCATGGAGCTAATGGCAACATGTCTGGATAAGCTATTGAAGCGCAGCAGACAGGCGATACCTGAGGATTTCTTAGGCAAAGTCACAGTAGCAGTAAGTTTCTTTCATTTTTAAAACATCTATCTCGAATTTCAAAGTTTTCATCTGCAAAAGTTTTCAGAATAGTTTTCAGAGGTTTTTTAGGAAATATTTTCATGATAGTAAAAATCTATATATCTCCAAAAACATTATAATTTTTACAATTATTTTTAAAACTTAAATACTCTTCACTGTATTTTGATTTTCTATATTATATATTAAAATTTATATATTAAATTTGAAATAAAATATCTTGAATAATTTTTGAGATAAATTGTAAAGATTCTATGCTACTTTTTCTCTTCAGACAGTAAAGGCGTTGTCGTACCTGAAAGAAAAACATGGTGTTATTCATAGAGATGTGAAACCTAGTAATATACTATTGGATGAATCGGGAGGAGTGAAACTTTGCGATTTCGGGATATCCGGAAGATTGGTTGATAGCAAAGCAAAGACGAGAAGCGCAGGATGTGCAGCATATATGGCTGTAAGTATACATAAATCACATAATTGAAAAATGTTTAAATTTTTTTATAGTAATGTGGCAAAAATGAATAATTGTATATTTTTGCTGTTATTTATACAGCCTGAAAGAATAGACCCACCCGATCCTACTAAACCAGATTATGACATAAGGGCGGATGTGTGGAGTTTGGGCATTACTCTAGTAGAATTAGCTACAGGAGTATTTCCTTATCGAGACTGCAAGACTGATTTTGAGGTAAACTTTTCTTTTATTTCTTCCATTTGAATTTTTTTACACAAAAGACTTACACATAAAGGATTAATAACTATTGAATTTTTCCATTTCTACTGTAAAATATTACTAAATATGTACAGTATATTATATATAAGTAAAATTAATTATTATAAGATATTACCAAATGATTATTTTTATTTTTTAATACAATATTGAAATTTTATTCATAATATGATTATCTCTTTTCAGAAAACTATATTTTGTGATTTATTTTATTTGGTTTCTTTTTGCGTAATTGTATATATGCCTGTATATATTGCTTTATTATATTTATTACTCTGTCATTTTCTACTTGTTGCAGGTATTGAGCAGAGTAGTACAAGACGATCCTCCTTCTCTTCCACTGGATGCGCCCTTTTCCAAGGAGTTCAGGAGCTTTGTCAGTTGCTGCCTTACAAAAAACTATAAGCATCGGCCCAAATATCACAAGCTCATGGAACATCCGTTTATCCGCAAGTATGATGTTCCACAGGATGTCCAGACAAATTCCGCTGTGACGAACTCTGGCTTCCAATGGTTCGGCAAAGTCATGCGGCAGTTAGAACCAAGGTGGGAACTAACAATAAGATATATTGATTGTCGTTTTCTTAGAAAACGTGATATTTAGGAAACTTAATACAAGATGATAGGATGGATAGGGTGATAATATATTTGTTGATAACGCTAGCCTGACAATGAGATCACGAATTTTAAACACGGCATGAGATTCCTAACTAATAAAGATACTGATTTCTCTGGTTTGGTTATCTTTTTTTTATCTTTTGAAAATAACCAGATGTAATCGTATTTTACGAACAATTTGTAAAATACTTACATATACTTAACACATTTCTATATCTCACATTTAATCAGTAGATATTATTGGTATCAAAATGATTTTTGAACAAATTGAAGAAATGTTTCACAAATTAGCTCGTTGTTGACATTAATGACAAAATCTCGAAATTGTGGCATTTTCTTTCGGTTTCTAGCGTTTTTGATTCTCTTGTTGATTGTATATTGATTTTTGCAATTTATTAATGCTGATTGCGAATTTGTCAGTAAAATTGAATTTAAAGGAAACGCGTTATATACTCTTGAAACACACACACACATATTTGTTAGTACAAGTATATAAATTAGACAATTATATAAATTTATCTTTGCTATTATTTTGTCAAAAATTGACATTTACAGTTTATTTTCTCAAATTAAAAGTTTGCGTGCGTGTTGAATTGTGTTGCAGCGTTGAGCTTGAGGGAGGCAGTGCGGCGTAGCATATACCCTTTCTCTCTCGTTTCCTTCTTCCCTTCCTGCTTCCGTTCTCTCCTGGACAAACTGGCTAAGATTCTCAAAAGAGACTTAAAAAAAGAAAAGGAAAAAAAAAATAAAACAGACCACTCCACTATTATCACTATTACTACTACTATTACTACTACTATTCAGAGTATCCAAATATCTACCCAATTTTCATTTCGAGTTGTTTGGTTTGTGCACGCGCCTGTTACACACCCCATCCTTCAACCCTCACTCATGGTAAGCATTGTTTTTTTATTTATTTCAATTATATTTTTGTTTCTCTTTTTTTCCGCCTACTCTTATTGTGTTTAGCGTAGCGACTTGTCAGACTTTGATCGTCGCAATGCACGCATAATTTTTCCTTGTACACGTGCCACTTGTTTTCTTTTTTGCAGTTTATGTATTGTTTCTCTCTTCCGGTAGCGAATATTTTGCCTATCGCAAATTGGGACGAGACTAACATAGCTACTGCAAAGATTATGGATTATACATTTATCTATATTTTTTAATTTTATTTGTATCACTTTTCTTTTTAATTTGGTCAGTAAAATGCAAGAAACAAGTGCTATATGATATCGCAGTATTACCTTCTAGAAGTTTTCTGCGATATAGAGATCTGACATATATGCAATCTGGTACCAAAGAATATCTTGTAATAGAGGTCTTCTTTATTTGCATACATTTAATGTGACTAATGCTTTGCTCTAACTTTTATTAACTCTTCTAAGCTGAAGTTTTTTACAGAATCATCACAATATGGTAATTACTGGGTAATGCTGATACACACACACACATACATACACACATATCAAAAGACTCAGAGAAAAAAAGAGAAAGCACATTAAAGGAAATGAATCGTATTCTCGAAGAAAATTCATCCAGACCACGATCCAGTTCCAGGTTGCCGGGAGGACAGCGAGTTTCGGGTCATGTGTCTTTGAAACAGACAGCCCATCTTCGGGCGCAATCCGAGGTGCCAGCTTTCCTGAGGAGCAACATCAACAGCAGCTTCAGAGAATCGCCGAACTCGGCCTTTCTGGCGTTTCATCAACGTACCAATAGCGAGAATGGCACGAGCTACGTGTCCTATAGTCCGTACGCCCTTCGAAGGAAGGAGATCACCCGGCCGTTCTCGCCACCGTCTAAAGACATCGCAACAGATCAGCCGGAGTCGAATCTGCCGCCGCGGCCCTTCTCGCCTTACCGGCAGCACGAGCAGAATACGATCATCAGGCACGACTATTCCTCGAATCGTTGCGCGACAACGAATGGTCAAAATAAACCGGAGATAACGACGATGACGACGAGACCGTTCTCTCCTTATAAGTCGCAAGACGCTAATGACAACAATGACCGACCTTATTCTCCGTATCGCTTTGGTCGCTACGATGAACGCGACAGCGGGAACAAGACAGACCGATGGCAAGGAGGCGTCTCGAGATCGCTGAGCCCCTTCGCCAGGGATTACTCGCCTTGGCGGCGGGAGAACGTCGATCCGCCTGTCATTCAGCCGCCACCACCTATTATGTGCGACAGCGGCGGCCGTTATTCGCCGTTTTATCAGCAACAGCCGTCGCACAAACCCGCGGCGCCCCAGACCTACCCGCAGGACATCTACGGTAGTCCTATGATCAATCGCAAGAGGTAAATAAAGGAACTCGAATCGATTAATCTGAATTTACACCCTCTAAGCATTTATTTCTTATTATCTTTAATTACATTTTTACTATTTTGATGTACAAGTTCCTTCAAAATCGATTTCCTCTCATTTAGCTTATATGATTTAATTTATTATTATATTTAATAATTATTTAATTAAAAATATTACGCGTATTTCTTTTTTCTACAAATAATTACTTAGAAAAGATTTTATATTAAAATAGAGTAAATATATTGTCTCCTATTTTGGATGTAGGTTTCCTTCGGAGCCACCACCGCAAGGATCCCACGGCTCCACTAGTCCGCAACTCTTGATCTCCCGTTTTGCGCATCAATTGAAGCAGGAGTCGCCGCCGTCGTCGCTGACGATGCCGCCACAGCAGGGCGTCGGCTCCAAGGAGTCTGCGAAAAAGCGTTTCGCGTCTTACGTGCGCCTCAGGCTCGGTAGCGAACGCGCTCCTTCGCCGGAGCCACCACCGAGACTAAGTCGCGGCGAGTCCCCGCTCGCCCTTAGGAGAAACTTAATCGATCAGGCGTCTCCTTCCTGTCCGCGAAGGTATCTTTCAGTCACCGTTTTTACTTGCTGAAAGAATAACTTCTTACAATTAATTATTAATTGTTTTTTAATGATGTGAAAAAAAATCTGATGAATAATTTGACTTCTTCAAGGTACGTCTCGCCCTCTCCGCCTCAGCCACCGCCCAGGAGACTATCGGAGAGCAATTCGGTGCCTGGCAGTCCGCAACACGTGCGAGCTCGTTTGCGTTACACGCCCGAGCCCCAGAGGAGACCTCCGCCGCCATAACCCACCGTTACAATCATTAAGCCTTATTACTATTATTTCTTGTTGGTGCCATACACGACTACGGACATCCGGACAGCGATCACGTGCACTACATAGTAACGAGATTACCCGAGATTGTGTGCACAGAGCGAGTCGCAGGACGTGTACGCAAAACGAAGAAGAAAGAAGAAACATATGTTCTTGAAAACGCTGTAAACCAAAAAAAAGAAGACGAAGAAGCAGTGTTTCTTAATACTCGAGCCGCCGAATTCTATTGTACGCGAACACTATTGTATGAGAGAACGTTGATTTAGCGTGCGAAACGGCTGAAATGACGAAAGAGTATTTGATCTTAATTTAATATTCTCACATTTTTCGATTTGCAGATGCTTCAAACCGCGAAAATTGCCTTAAGACATTTGACGACTTATAGCTAGCTAGTGAATATTTCAGGTTTCTAATTGAAAAATATTTTCTGAATTTCTTATTGATGTTAGAGCGTAGAAAAAAAAAGATGAAACGCGTGTTTTTCCGAGTTTAAAACGCTTCACACGCTAAACTCGTAAACACAAACTTTTGCACGATTAAATAGTCTTTAGCTAAGCCTCGGTTAACTAATTCTGGCGAAGAGTTGGACTGAATCTTACTAAAAGATACGGTGAAACGAAACAAAGAAAAACAGTTACGTAAGTCAATTCTCAGAAAGATTCTAATTACGAGATTTGGTGTTATTGACGTAAATTGTCGCCGATTTTTTTCACTTCGACTTCATAATCTAAATAAGAAATAAATTAGTTTAACTTAGGATTAATGTTAACCGAGGGAAGCCCGTGTGTGCACGTTTTGCATAAGCGAGGGAGTCGTTAATCGCGGAGAGTCCTCGCGACATTGCACGGTTTTCCCTCGCTGTCACGAAACGCGGAAAAATTAATCTTCATCAATAAATCCTCTTGACATGTATTTATCGATGATACGCAACGGGAAAATTATGATGCTCAACTTTTTATATTGTCTGCGTATTAAAGAAGTACACAGTGTTAAAGAAATGACGGAGGAGTGTGGCATTAACCGCGATTAGGTCGTGATTTTTCTAATTAAAAAAAAATCAATACACGCATATACAGAGAGAATATAATGGAGGTCGTGTCGTACATGAAAACGCGTAAACCGTTCCTATCGCTCTTCTTCGTTTACGCTTTTTTTCCGTCAATCTTGAGAATCTTGTCATAACGAAGGAGAAAGAGAGAAAGAATAAAAAAACGTGCAACGAAATTCGCTCTCTTCTCTTGGATGGCCTTGCGGTATCTCTGCGACTCGAAATGCAATCTTTCTCTCTTTCTCAGCGACTTTTCCACGTTTTATTATTAATACTAATTATTATGAGACTATTGTATTATTTATATAAAGTAATATTAAATGTGAGAGAGCGAGTCGTTCATGGTACATAGTTCAGTGCCGAGATCGAACCGAGAGAGATATTATCGTTCACACTCGATTATTTCTTGATAACGAGAAAGAAAAAAAAAAGAAAACGAAAGCACAATAATGTCGCAGCAGCACGTCTCGTAGAGTCTCCTACCTACGAAGCACGAATGTATATTAATTATTCAATTGGGAAGGCGTGCAAGGCGTCAGATACATACATACATACAAAAATACACATACATACACACGCATACATGATTAGAATGTTGTAATTATTATTTTTAATTAACATTTATAATCCTTAATTACGTTCAAGTCTACACTCGTAATCACCTTTGTCACTTATTTGACAAAAGGATCTGTTGCAATGTAAATAAACTTATATTTATACGAGTCATATTGTTCTTCCAGATTTTTTCTTCTATTTTTACTCCGAATATTCCTCATAGAAAAGTTGTAAAAATTCTTTATTATTTCGCCCTAATCGTATTTTTATTATTTCCAATCGAATATGTATATTATACATGCATGAGTGTCCATTTATTAGATAGTGAAAGGAATAATTGTAAACCTTTTTAATAGTGCTTATTAATTATTGTAATTATTTAAAAATCCAGTTTTTACTATATTCTAGTTAATTATATATATTTAGGAAATATAAAAAGAAAGCATATTTTTATAAAAATAGAAAAACTCATTATAGCTATGATATATGATTAAAGTTAAGATAAGATTTCACTGTGACATTCAATTCTTATCAAAGTTAAGCTGACAATGAGTCTTAAAACTTTTTACGGGTTTACTAATTAATACACATAATTTATTATTGTAAAATTATATTCTAGTCATTTTTTTTTGTAAAAAATATGAAGTTTTGAAGATAAAATATTTTTTCTAAATTTATTTCTCAATAGAGTACACACAAGCTTAATTTATCATCATGCCATGATAATAAAGCATGAAATATAGATAAGAATTACCGTGACACACTTAAAAATTTATCAAAGAATTAAATGACTTTCCTAAGGAAAAAATTAAGATAAAAAATGTAGGAAAAAAAAGAAAAATTTGTATATTAATGCTGATTTAGAAATCTTCAACTTTACATAAGGTGAAAAAAGTGATATATGTTTCTTGCAGAATTACAAATGTTAATATTATTTTGTAAAGTTTGTTGCCGATATTAAAATATATAGAATAACTATATAAATATATATAAATAATATATATATGAATATAAATAGAGAATACAAAATATATATAAATATAGAATATATATATATGAATATAAATTTTACTGTTTAGCGGACAGATATAAAAGAATATATATATATTGTAATAATATATATATATATGGTGAGAATAAATAAAGAAGCGAAATAATCGAATAAATCAATATGCATTTGATAAAATTATGTAAATTATTGCTATATGTAAATTATATAAAACAATATCTTGAGAGAATTTTAAAGTTCACATATTGCATATTTAATTTTTACATAATATATATGAATATAAATAGACAATACAAAATATATATATAAATATAGAATAAATATATTATAAATTATATATATATAGAATATATATATATATATCTAAATTGAAAATTTGTAATTTAATACATGACGTCTCGCTCGAAACGTCACAGTCATTTTTGTATTTTTATTTCATGCTATACAATGCCCGGAATTTTCTTATATATATACATTAACGTCGAGTGTTCGGCCGAAGCATATATTTTTATCGTATCATGCCACGTAATCTCTAAGCAACTTTTTTGCTGACGGCTCATGCGCATTGAGCGACGATGGATTTTTTAACTCTGCTGCCGGTATATTATATATGCCACGATCGCGTTAATTTGCATCCTTCTACGAGTCGATCGAACTTTGGTAGGCCGAACTTTGTAACACAGAATCGTTAAACGTGTCTCTTTGTTACACCGCAACATGTGTGATTTTTTATTACACGAGCATGTCTCATCTAGAAAAATAAAAAAGATATATGGACTGTTCGTTTATTTTACTGTTTAGCGGACAGATATATATATATATATTGCAATAATATACATATATATATGGTGAGAATAAATAAAGAAGCGAAATAATCGAATAAATCAATATGCATTTGATGGATAATATTATGTAAATTATTGCTACATGTAAATTATATAAAACAATATCTTGAGAGAATTTTAAAGTTCACATATATTCATCTTCAAGAAAAATAATATCACGATCGATGACGTTTTCATTCACGATGGATCGGCTGAGTTAAATTCGAATTGAACAATTAAGGAGTCAATAGCTCATCCCATCCTCGGTCAATTCTTCACAACAATAAGAGAAGGAGAAAAATATTTCCTTCGCCCAAGCGGGACCCGAACACATTTGAAAGCCTGAAAAATGTATATATATATATATATATACATATACTTATGTAAAATAGAGCCAAGAATTTTATCTATAGACGATAGCCTCATATATTTAATATGGCCGTGTGCTCCCTCTTCTTGTGCCTCCGTTTGAGGTAAAAACATCTCGTTTCTCGAGCATATGACTCGGGGATCGAATTGAGGCTTGCGTTGTTAATTGAACCCGGCGTTGAAAGCCGAGGCGGCGCGCGATAACGATAGGATCGCGGAAAGAAAACGATTTATTCTCGCCTCCTTCGCCGTCCCTGAGCAATCAATATGGCCTCCGGCCATCGCTCGCTCGCTCTCACTCGCAGGGCACGCCAGCGCGGCCATCTTTCTCTCTCTCTCTCTTCCTCTCTTTCGCTCCACCGCGCGGAACTCGAGGCGAGGCGAGTGCAGCGAGTTCTGTGAGTTCAGTCGAGTGCGGTCGCGAGGCCGCGCTGGGAGCCTTGATTCGGTCCAGGATTCCGTCATCTGATCTCGAGCAGGAACGGATGTCCGGATGACAGGAACTCTCGCACGGTAGGAGAGAGAGAAGCGGCGTCTCGCGCCATCGGAGGATTCCACGAGTTCCCTCATGAACGCGTTCTCGGGGTGAGTCGCTGCACCGGTGCTGGAAGGAGAGAGATAGGATATATATATATATATATCTTGTCTGCGAGAGATCTCGAGTAATTGAAGGATATTTGAAATTCCAAATGCCTCGCCGGTGACTCGGAATTAAAGAGGTTCCTAACTAACAATAAGATGAGGTACGTCTCTGGGTGTGCGCGTTGTTACTCGTTACGGCGAACTTGCGGCTCGTAGCAGGAATTGATTGAACGCAGGTATGGCCGACGTCGCGTCGTCCGAGGGCGACAACGGACTTGTCGTGACGACGACGACGACGACGACGACCGTCGAGGGTTGTCGAGGCGGGCTGCCGGTGACAGCGGAGAGTGCCAGCGTCCAGGAGGATGCCACGACCGCCACCGACAACGGGGTTGTCGACGACAAGGTCAGCATCCACGAGATTCTTGAGGGGATGACGAACGAGTTCAACAAGGGCGTGAGTCCGGTGAAGCAGAACGAGTGTGAGAAAATAATGGGAGCGGAGGAGGCAGTCGCGGCGCCGTCCTCACCCTTGAAGCTCGTCGACGAGGGCTCCAAGGACGAGAAGGACGGCGTGGAAGCCGAGGAGGAGGAGGAAGAGGAGGAAGAGGAAGAGGAAGAGGAGGAGGAGGTCGTTGCGAACTGCGAGGACACACAGGTTTCTCAGGTCACGCCGGAGGAGAATCACAAGGACGAGGATGAAGGTTCGGTGACCACAAATAAGCAGGAGACTGTTAAGAAAGACAATGGTATACCTAGGATTGTCCTTACATTCAGGACTATCGATGAGAACACAGATCATGGCAAGAAGACCAAGATATCCAGCTGCTCGTCCAATCTCACTCTGGTCCCTGATGAATTGGCTAATTGCGATCAGATTGGCGGTGTCTCTGTGAAGATTGAGAATTCTGATGAGAATTCTGATGCGATGGAGGAGTCCCAAGCAGAGGAATCTCAAATAGAGGAGTCCCAGACAGGGGAGACTAAGAAGGAAGAATCTGCAAAGACAGTGGAGCCAAAAACTGCGGATGAGAAGAAAGTGGAAGGTGCGGAAGAGAAACAGGACAGTGACACGCAGTCTTCTGTTCAGAAAAAACCTGAAACTGTGAAGAATAATGTTGATAGCAATAATGTCGAAGCAAAGCTTCTGGAAGATACTGAGCAAAAGAAACTACTGCACCAGTTACCAGGAAAAGAAGGATTGGACGACCTAGATTGCGAGCACTTAGGTTTTTGTTTCTTTTTCATTTGCCTTTTATTGAATATTTACACGTGCAATATTTGTAAAATAATTTTCTTTCATTTTCAGTGATTTAATCCCTCAAGACGAGGATCCTCCAGGTCCCAAGCGATCGGCTAGAAGACTTTGTAAGGAGTCTTTGAAGAGCACTGTACTAGAGAGTGCCATGGCACGTAAAGAAAAGTCTAATTACACGGAGGAAGCGGTTAAAAAAAGGAAATACAGCAAACCAGGTCGGCCCAAGAAGCTGGTTGCAGGTAAAGATCAAATAAAACAGGCTCAAGCAAAGTCCTCTGATGTTCATCAAGAAGCAGAGACGTCGTTGGTGTCTGATGGTAACATTAGCATATCCGAGAACTCGATGTTGGAGTCCTCACGCAACACTACATTATCGGAGAATATGAACGATAGCGTTGCCGAGGACGCGCAGTCATTTTCATCCGACTTCGACGGGATGCCGAAATTGTCGCCGATGACGAGGAGTTCGGAATCACAAATGAAACTCGGCAACTCCATCGGTAGTCCTGGCAGCGACGATGTACCTCTGGCGGATATTCAGAAGCCTTTCCTCAAACCTGCCACTGCTAGTCGACCCAAGAGAGAAAGAGGACGTCCTCGTGGAAGTAGCCAAGCGGCCCGAAAAATAGCAAAGGCCGATCCGTACGAAGGTGATGTAATGTCGTAACAATGTATATGTAACAATATTTTCCTGCTTATGTAGCTATTATTTTTAAATTAAAATTGACAAATTACTTTGCAGCTGGTTCTCCAACCGTTGCGGAAGCGGGAAAGCATAATGATTATCCTGAAGGTAAAGTATAATTTTTTAAATAAAATTTTATGGATAATGTAGGGCGAATATAAGTAAATTTGAATTAAAATGTTTTTGTTATAAAATTTTATAGTGAAAATATTTTATATTCTTTGCTTTTACACCAAAAGAAATAAATATAGATATATTATTTTTTTAATGTTATGTATTTATAAACTCGACTATATAATATATTTTAGATATATATAAATATATAAAATAATATATATAATTATAATAATATTAAATATCTATACATATTATTGTTATCATATAGTTTTATTATCATTATTTAATTATCAATTGTTTTTATCAACTATTTATATTATCACAGTTGCTTCACTATATCTTTACCATCAATTATATTACTGTCATTTTGACATTATTACATTAACGTAGCAACAAGAAGATTTATAAAATGCTGGTAGGCAAATGTATTAAGTAATAATTTTTTAACTGCTCATTTTGTGCTTCTTTTTTTAATGTGTAAAAAAAATATAAATAATTATTTTTTAAATTTGACTCGAGGCGTTCAGTATAAATATATTTAATAAGTCTTCAGTATATCTGATGAGAAGTAACTCATGTATTTATAAAACATTACTAGTTTGCTATTTTTTATAATTAAATAGCTATACTTTTATTTTAAAATGTTTCATATAAATTTTAATTTTTATAGAGATTCCAGTCAAACGAACTCGCAGGAGTATGGCGCCAAGCCCGAGTCCTGCGGAAGGACAGGCTTCGAAGCCGGAATCTACGGCGATTATGAGCGAAGTCAGTATTATCTCGTCTCATTTTTTCCATCAATACAATAATAATAAGGATTCTAATAATCTTTTTTATTGTAGACGTACGGTCAATCTATGTTATGCTTGTGCCAAGTGCGATCTCAGTTGTACGTGACGATAACTGGTTCTGGGCAGCCTTTGTACTGCACGGCGATAGATTCGATCGACAACCGGATAGTAGGATGCTGCAACGAAGTGGACAGCAACGACGTGGCGATGCGACGACCGAGCACTCGCGTACCTTTCATTATCCTCTGTCGTATGCACAAGGAACGGCTGCTGCGCCACAATTGTTGTCCTTCCTGCGGTTTGTTTTGCTCGCAAGGCCGGTTTGTGCAGTGCAGCAATGGTCATCAGTACCATCGCGAGTGCGAAGTTTATCCAAACAAGAAGGGCGTGTGTCCGCACTGCGGCTGTGAAACTGCTGCTTACGATGTGCTAGTGACAATGAATGGTATGCGACGACCGGTTTATATACCTACGCGTAAGAAGTATTCCAAATTGCCCTCGGCGAAGATGAGCCTGCCTGGCAAAGGTGACAATACCAAGCTGGCCGAACGTCCGCCTAGTCCGTTGATCAAGCCTGAAGTCATCAAAATACCCGAACCGTCGATTAATACCGAGAGACCAGAGCGTTACACCATTATGAGTCTTTACACGTCCGTGAAGAATGGAGATCTGGAAAAATTGGTGAACGTATTAGGTGAGAGAAGAATTTTTTTTAAAAAACGAGATAAATTTTTAAGTTTGAAAATTGTAGAATCTATTCTTTTTTTTTTTATTCTACTAATTTATTCTTATATTTATTCTTATGTGTATTTATTAAAAAAAACCTTTCTTTAAATCTTTTATATTTAGAAGTTAAAATAAGTTAGACTAACAATAAGATTTAATATTTAGTCTTTTAATCTAAATTCTATGTAAATATATATTTAGCAAATGTTGAAAATATTTATATGCTTTGATAACTTAATTATTATTGTAATATACAAATTTGCGATTTCTAGCATGTGGTTACAACGCGAATCACACATTCCGGGATTACGCCCATCGGACAAGTTTGCACATAGCCGCGGATAAAGGCCATCTGTCGTGTGTGCATGTCCTGGTTCAAGCGGGTGCTCAAGTAGATGTAATGGATAGGAACCAATTGACGCCGTTGATGTTAGCCGCGAGTAAGGGTAATGCCGCTGTGGTAAAATATCTAGTTAGGACAGGCGCCGACGTAACACTCAAGGGCGAGGACGGCATGACTGCTTTGCATATGGCAGCCAAGTCCGGCCATCTAGAAGTATGCAGGATCATTCTGACCGAATGTAAAGTGCCGAGGACGTTAGTAGGTAATGCTGAATTTATATTTAGCAAGGAAATCTTTTTTTTTGTTCTTTTCTTTTATAGAAAATATATTTGTAAATAAAATTCTAAAATATTAATAAGCAATTTTTAAACAATACAAAAATAATAATATAAAAATATATAAATATTATGAACTTTTCCTTTAGGAAGAGATCAGAGTTTATGTTTAAATAAATTTAAAACGGAATCTTATTCGCAGACTGCGTAGACGATGGCGGCTGGACAAGTTTAATCTGGGCGTGCGAATTTCGCCATGCCGAGGTCGCACGATATTTATTGGATAAAAAATGTGATCCACTTATTCGAGACGCCGAGCAGAACATAGCGTTGCACTGGAGCGCATATAGTGGTAGTGCCGAGATCACAGAGATGCTTCTTAACGAGGGATGCGACCTGAATGCTGTTAATGTTCATGGTGATACTCCCTTGTACGTTTTGCATTTCTTTTTGAAAATTATACTTCTAATCGTATTAAACGCATAAGCATAACAAAAGATGCAATAACATTTCTTAGGGCGATAAGTATTTTATAAATGGATTAAATGAGTTTGTGAGAGAGGATTCTTTTTAATTATAAAATGATTTTTTTTAGACACATAGCAGCTAGACAGGATCAATATGCAGTTAGTGTTCTACTGTTAGCACGCGGTGCTAAAATAGGAGAAGTGAATGCTGCTGGTGAAACCGCGGTCAATTGTTGCAGCACAGACGGTGATACTATGGCTGCCTTAAGGTTGAATGCAAAGGTTAATGAACTCTCTGAACATATGTGGGAGAAAACGGTTAAAATATTGACAAAGTAAGTATAACATTTTATTAAGTATTATCTGTAAGAGTAAATAAATGTGTATATGATGTGCGCACGCATACGCGCTATACTCTTATAACAACTGATTTGCTTTAATAATTATTAGTTATAGTTACATATATTAATTACGATTTTCTTTATTATATTTTTTAATGCAAATTATTTCTATTTTTAAAATTTATAATTTTTAATGTATTACTTAATAATATTGAATAATAGCTTTATATGTCTGATCTTTTATTTCATATTATTTTATCGTCCATTCTTTTTACAGTGACATTTCACGGGGAAAGGAAACAAATCCTATACAATGTGTTAACGGATACGATTCCGAAGATAAGCCAACTGATTTTCTTTATGTGACAGAAAATTGCTTCACTAGTAACATTAACGTGGATCGTACGATAACGTCACTACAGTCTTGTCGCTGTGAGGACAATTGCAGCTCCGAAAAGTGCTTGTGTGGAAATATAAGTCTGCGATGTTGGTATGATGAGGAGGGAAAGCTCATACCTGAGTTTAATTATGCAGGTATCTATATTAATATTTTCAAGAGTAAAAATACCTTAAAATAATCACTAGATAAATAATAATTTAATTAATCAAATAGAAATTTATTTTACATAAAATATATTTTTAAAAAATTAAAACATTAATATTCTTGCCATAGATCCACCAATGTTGTTCGAGTGTAACCCAGCTTGTGACTGTAATCGCATTACATGTAACAATCGAGTGATTCAGCACGGATTGACGCAAAGATTTCAATTGTTTCGCACAAAAGGCAAAGGTTGGGGACTCCGAACTCTACGACATATTCCTAAGGGCACGTACGTCTGTGAATATGTCGGTGAGATAATCTCTGATTCTGAGGCTGATCATCGCGAGGATGACTCTTATTTGTTTGATTTAGATAACAGAGTAAGTTGTACATTCTTTTTTTTCATGACTTTGGCTTGGACATGGGGACAGTAATTTGCTTGTATATAGACTATATCTATTTTTCTTTTCTGTAATTATTTTATAAATTTTAATATTTTTATGTAAATACTTATAGATGCAAAATAGCTTTTTTAGTTATTAATCCAAAATTTTGGACACGTTTTGACAATCTTATGGTAAACAAATTTATTTATATCTACGATCCTTTTCTTCATGGTTATTGTTTTTACTTTTATGCAGCGTATTAATTTGTACAAGTTATTTTATTCTGAATTGTGAATCACAGAATTTTACTTTACGTGCACAGGACGGAGAAACGTATTGTATAGACGCGAGACGTTATGGGAATATCGCTCGATTCATCAATCACTCATGCGCGCCAAATTTATTGCCGGTACGAGTATTCGTTGAACACCAGGACTTGCACTTTCCAAGGATAGCGTTCTTTGCCAACCGCGACATCGAGGCGGACGAAGAGCTCGGGTATGTTAAAAACCAGTTGAGGTCACTGAGATACAAGATGTTATTGAGACACATTTAAATATATCTCAACTAATACATAAACACATTATTACACTCATGAATTTTCATTAATAAATTGTTTAACTTTTGTTTTTTTTTTTATTTTCAATCTATAGCACGTAGTTATAGTTCCTTTCATCTTTATTATTTTGTTCTATTTCATCTCTTAATACTTTTGTATTATAATTAGATCATATTATGTTTTCGACAAAGTATAATTCTATTTGATAAATGTAGAAATGCGTAAATTGTTTATTAAATAAAGATATTTGATAATATATTGTTTCAGTAATCCTTGTATGATCTTCTAATTTGTGCAAATTACATTTTCTCATTTCATCTTTTTTATATTGTTTATTTCCAAAAAGATAAAAATCACGAAAAATTAGTTTTTTATACTTTTCTAAATTTTGAAAATTTGTAAATAATTAAAATTTTCTTTTATATTAAAAATTTTATGCAATTCCGAACGGACACATGTATATATATATATATATATATATATATATATATAAATATAAAATATCAATGTATGATAGATTAAGGTGATGGATTTTAAAAAATTTTAAAAGCATTTACATCAATTACACCCTATTTTTAATGTATTTTTAACTTCCAACTTCGTACGAGAAATGAATACGGATATGTTTGCTCGTAGCTTTGATTACGGCGAGAAATTCTGGATAATAAAGTGCAAGTCCTTCACGTGTACCTGCGGAGCCGAAAACTGCCGTTATTCTGAGAAGACTATACAAGTTACGCTGGATAACTATCGAAGAAAGATACAGCAGGAGGAAATATTGGCAGCTCAAACGTCATCGTAACCATAATGGGATTTAGTTAAATTTTTTAGGTGATTTTTCGCAAATACGACGACAGCAACGTCGTACGTAGAATTCATCGTCCACGCGATTAATTTTCCGATTCGCTGCGAAATCGGTTGCCGTGAGGCGGCGCGCAATTATAAAAGTACAAATGCAAAACGGTGGTGGGATGCGATTTAGGTTTCTTTCCCAAAAGACGTTTACTTACTGAATTGTATTATTCGATTTCGAAGTTTTGAAAAATCGTATCCGAACGATCATGTTATTTCTACCGAATATCGAACGTTCGTCCACATAGAAATTGACGACCGGTCTATCAAGTGATTTTCTTACATCTTTTGTTTTTTAAATATCGATAAATAAGAATATGTAATTTGCGGTGAAAAGTATTCTGAGCATACAATTGCGATTTATGAAAATATGTATACTAAAGAAAACAATAATAATCATGAAATATGAAAAAGTATACGATAAACACTAATGTGATTCTTGCAAAGGAAGATTATATTTATAGGAGTTAAAATATGTTTTAAGTCTTGACAGACCGGTAATTAATAATAATTTATATGAATTGCCTTTGATTTGACTCGAAAGGTATTTTTAATATTAAATATAGTAATTATCATATTTTGCATAATATATTCTTCTCACATTCTATTTTTCGAGTCAAATCTAAAAAGAATTTAATATTATCGTCCATATTTCCCCTCAGGCTCGCTTGTACTTGTTTCCTATTTTTGCCAATCTTTATAAGAATACAACGACTCTACGAGAAAATGTCACGTCAATTTTTTTCCTTTTTTTTATAACGAAATAACTATGCATAATATATATATTGACGGTTAGTTTATCTGTGTGAGCTGCGAAGATATTTTGTATGTTAAAATATTGTTATAGTCCTATTTGGACGACTTATGTGATTATAAGAGATATTTGAAGTTACTGTCGCTTTTAAGTGAATCGGAATTGGGATAATCACATTGCGTGTTCGTGTGTTCCTTACTATATAGAAGCTATGTATTACATTTTCCAATTAGTCGCTCATATCTCAAAGGAGAGCGTTTAATGTTGGATTCACTGCAAGCGATATAGTAGATAAGAATACACTTTTTTTTGTACAAACGATTGACTTTTTGTATAATAAAAGTTATAGTCCTTTTTAACATATATGAGTTTGCATTGGATTAATCTCTATATATACCAAAAGAATCTAAAATATAGAAGAAAAAATAATCTATCTTGATAAATAATTAAATGTAATTTTATTTGTTTAACATCTTATTCTTTTATTATTTTATTCTTGTATTATTTTATGCTTAATAAATAAATATTGAGTATGCTAATAATACATTGAGAAAGAAGATATAATCCAACAAATTCAAATTAATCTGAATTAAATCTCAATTAATTCTTCAAATGTTTACATACACATTATTATATATTAATAAAAATTATATATTTGATCAAAAGTTGTATATTTATATTATGAAAATGTAATGTATCACAAAATTATATAAATTCATAACGAAATTATACAAATCCATGTAATGGTTTGATATCAAATCATCTAAAAGTCATGTTAAATCCTGTAATTCCCGTTTAAATTTCGCGGGTAAATTATTACACAGAAGCGACGCTTCCCACACGTCATACGTCATACTTGCACCAACTTCATTCTTTTCCAAAACGCGACGTGGACGACGTGGTGAGATTCTTTCTTTCGCCAAGGTGCTATATCTTTAATTTCGTTTGCCATTATTGAGCTATTACTGTATACCTCGTGAACATATTTGAATTCTGATTCCGGATTTGTATTAATTTGTTCACGAGAATATTCAGTTAGTGCAACGGCGAACGAATTAAAGATGCATTTTTGCGATCGAAATTTTCACCTTTGTAACTAACGTGAAGTATTGCACGCGTACGCGGCTTGCCGGCCGCTGATTGGTCAACAGGACTTAACTCAAACTTCACGACATTTCACGTGGAAGTCGCCGCATTACGTCTGTGGAGCTCGGAGGAGTCGGAGGTGCGAGATGTGAGCTGCGTACAATTATCGCAGGTATGTTCTTCATCATTTGCATCCGCGACTCTTGATCGTAATTTGCATTTTCGTGATAATCTGTGTTTCAGGATCTCATTTACTTGGAATCCTCGTCGGAAAAGTCGTCGATCGCCAACGATATCGATTCAGTGAGTGTGCAACAATTTTGTTTACTCAGAGCTGTCCTTGACAGATTATTAAGTTTGATTAAAAGTAAAGTAGAGCTGAAAAGGATTCAAGATTCGTCTTAGAGAGCGAAAAAATGTCGCGAAAAATCTCGGCAAAAAAGTACCGTGTTTTCGACCGGAGTGAAGTAGCGCGCGGGAGTGAAGTTGGCGGGAAGCTCCGCGCCTGCGCGGTGCGCGACTCGTGCGCCTGTGCGGACGGCGGCAGCGCGCCGGCCGCTGATTGGTCGACGCACGCGCGCTGACTCGAAATTCTCGAGAGCGGGAGTCGCAGTTAGTGTAGCGATCGTGGAGCGCGCTTGAAGGCGCGACGCCGTGTAGCCCGCGTAGAATTATTATCGTAGGTATCTTTTCCGTTTCACCTGGCGCGCGCGTCCGCGACGTGTGTGCTCTTTATGATTTAAATGCGACGACCGCGTACGTGTTCGTGATTATTTGCATGCGCTTTAGAACCCCGCTCCCGTTTCGTTTTCCCGTTCTCGTGTGGCGCGCGCTTATATTTCTCGCCGGTCCTCGCGCCGGGAAAAAGTGCCGATTGCCGACGACGACGATGATATGTCGCGACGCCGCGGTCGGTTCAGTGAGTATGCAATAGTGTTGATTATGTTGCTGAAGGCGATCATCGACGGGAGATTAGTATGACGACCAGCTGACGGATGTATCTCTGCTCTGCCTTCTCACGGCGTCGGCGGGGTTGACGATTGAGCGGACAGTGGAAGGTAAGAGGACATGTTTCTAATGTGTTAGGTTAATGCAACCTAAATATATCGATCAAATATATGTGATTTGTGTATAACGATGTATAACATTATAACAATGTAACACGATTGTTATAATATACACAACATTGGTGTGCATTTTGCACTCGAGGACTCCTACTTGCATTTAAATGCAAACAATTCTCTGCTTTTCGATTAATGATATTTTTCTGCTTTTGAAATTATTAATGATTCATTCTGCGTTTTGTTTGAATCTTTTACATATCATATGCAATCATATTTTTATGTCTCATTACAATTATCAATTATTTATTCCATTATAACAAACTATTTCTGATTTTTTGACTTATATATCTTTTGTGTTCTCTTGAGAACATTTTTGGAACATTTTTACGCAACATTTGCTGATTATTAAGAAATTCAATTTTTTAAATTTGATTATATATTCTGTTAACTACTCTTCTTTCTCGGAAAGTTTGTTAATTATGGAGATGAGTGTTAGACGAAAGCGAAATTTTTTCGACCGGACTTGTTGCCGTTGCCTGGAGAAAGGGGAGAAAAGCTTTCGTTACACGTAGAACTCACGATGAGCTTTCGTGAGAGTTGATTTCGAGGTTTTATGCGAGAACGGAAGGGAAATTTTAGTCTAAACATATAGATGAAATCTCACTTTAAAGCTATTACAACAGGAAAATAAAAGACTTAATTCAAACAACTTTGCAAATCAGTATGGATTACAAAAAAAATTTATGAGGATTTCATTGTGCAAACTTATATCAAATTTTATATTAAATTATTCAATTAACTTTATATGTTTACGTATTAAATGTATAAAAATAAAAAAAAGGAAATGAATCGCAGATACTTTTCCAGATATTACTTAGGAAATATATTATTTATAATAAATTACTTATATATGCTACAATAATCCGACGGTATAAGTATTTTTTTTGTAGAATTTGATTAGGAAATCATTATTTATTACAATCGAAAATGCTGATTCCTTAAGATAAATTTTTAAGCATTTCTTAAGATAAATTAATAGATTACTGAAAATGCACTTTTTTATTTCTTTGCCATATTGTTTAAATTTTCTCTTTTTCTCTTGAAACTTTATCTCAGAATTTTAAAAAATTGAAAATTTTTTATTATTTTTAAATCAATTTTTAAATTAAAAAGTTGATTTCTAAATATTTATGTAATTGATTATTTTTATATTTATTATATTTGAATATATCATATTTACATATATTTCATTTAACATTCTTTTTATGACAATATCCAATTTTTACGTTTAAAAAATAGTAACAAAATATAATAAAATTGTGATGGTTATATGTAAAATAAAAAAAACCAATTTTTTGATACGAATATTGCTGAAGTCGTGTTTAGTATCGGCTGTAAAATGTTAAAAATTCAAATATCGAGCGACGCTAATACTCGTGAAAAATACGTTAATATAAAAACTCAATACAATAGAATATACACGTTTTTAAATTGCTAAAGACATGAACTTCTTTACTTTGATTAAAAATTCATTATTTCGAAGGAGACACATTTTATAGATTGAACACGTGCGATCGTAAATTCTACAATAATTAAGTATGTCATTCGTTTTTCACGACAGATATCTTTACTCGTGGCATAATTAAAGTATTTTATTCCAGAAAATATTGTGTGCCGCTTATTATATCAGATAAATAATTTACATGTGTATTAATGATTAAAATATAAATTTATATTTAATATTTTGTAGATTCCTCTCTACTAACTATCTTTATCTTTCTACTTATATATTTTAAATGTACAAGACAAAGGATTAAAATGAAAAGGAGAAGTTTGCCATGACTTTTGATATGCCACGTGTAAGTTCGATTTGCTCGTTATATCGACTGCCATTTACAAAAAAATAGGTCTTCCGACATCTGGCGATTATCCGCGATTACGTCCTTCGATTCGTTACATGGTTTCATCGAGCCACTCACGCATCAAGAGAATCGGTCTGTTGGTTTTCAATGCAGACATGTCATTACTACTCTCTTTGTTTGATCCGTCACATCAAAATACGAGTAAATAACATTGGCACACGATATTTACGGGAAAAGTTCGGCGATCCAAATGAATTTGAAATATTTAAAAGTTCGCACAAATATAGAAAATACGTATTTAAAATGTCCAAAAATGTTTTATATGACGTATAAATAAAACAATTGGATATTATTCAGCTTAGAATTATTATTCGGAAAAGAATTAATTCATTAACGTGATATTTGGTTCCAAATGCACGAAACATATGATTTCGGATATCTTATATATATTATTATCTAATAAAATTATGTCTCCCTTATTTTATATACTTTAAGCAACGAACATTTTTTAATCATATATGATTTAATAAATATATATAGTCATAGTATAAAGTATATCAGAATATCTAGAATATATTAAATATGTTTGACATCATTGCATAAATATGCATCTGCATAAATATTTCTTTTAATATAGAATTAAATTTTTGACAATGGAATATGTGTATTTATATGATGTTGCAAAGTCGATGGATTTTCGTATTTATCTCTCCATCGTTTGTGAAAGTTTTAGGACAAACACGCGCGATTATATTCAGTGAATCTAGTGTGCACGCGAAAACGTTGTCTTAACGAGATATGTTATCTCCTTATGTTCTAGTATGTTATACTAGGAAATAGACATTGAATTTTTAATAAGTGAAATTGACTCTAATTGTTAATAATTTTCATTTAAATCCTCGGTTTTTTGCAAATTGATACTTTCAAAGATTGTAATTTGATTTCATGAAATGATTCATTTTATAAAATTGAAACAACTACTTGATTATTTAATATGTAATATGTATATAATGTTTCTTTTATTTTCTTGGTCCTTTAACAACTTATTTTGTACATAACTAGATATTTGATTTTTTGTAGAAAAAATATTGGGGAGATGCCAAAATATATATGAAATAAATTACATATAAAATATAGTTTTATATTGTTGAACTATTTTATATGTATAAATTATACATTGAAAGCTTGTATATTACTATATAGTATACTGTGCACAAAATACCATTCAAGTAATGTTACCGCTCACTATTTTATTAATGTTTAAAAATATTTTATCCACGTTTTGTGTGAAATCTTTTTACAAAATAAGGAATTAAAAATTAATATTTTCTTGAAAGTATTAATGTAAAAAATAAAAAAGGTTTTAAATCTTTATTTAAAATTTATTAAAAAATTCGATATTTAACTTCTTGTTCTCGCAAGCTCATATAGCCAGAAAATTCTCGTTAGTGTTTCTAAAGGTTTCTGCCTTAAGAATATGACACCCCAAAGCTTAGAGTCGCTTTCCCGATTTAAATCTTCACCTCCTACGCGACCCAGAGCTTTCGATGTGCGCGCACACAATTTCTCTTGATCACCCGCGGTAATTCTAAAGGCGTGCCACCGCACGCAGATCTTTATATCCGCAGATCGTGATTTCATCCGGTGTCCACCGGATGATCGTATCTAGACGCGTGCAAGGCGAACCTTAAATCACGCGATAGCGACAATTTATGGAGTATGTCATGAATACGACCGGATAGGTCATTCCCGTGGCCTCGATGAGGGTTAAGAAATATTTCCCTTTTAAAAGAGAACGTGATATTTTATATAAGATATAATATATCTTAAAATATGGACACCGATTTACATAGTTATTATATTTAATGATGAACGTTTATGCTTTTTTCATTCGAATATTGTGCTTACGTTCAAATAAAAATGCATAAATTGGATATAAGAAATAAGAAGTTAAAATCAAAAGTTTTAGCATTAAATGCGTGAAAATTAAATATATATAAAATACATATTTAATTATTTATTCTTTTATTAGATAATTATATATATATTATAGAGATCATAATTATAAAAATTATAAAATTAAATTATAAATGAGCATATTATTATATATAACTGTTTATAATTTAATTTTATATATATCTATCTTTCTTAGATAATTTTAATATCTATGATTTAAATATACAATAAAAGATTAAGTAATCTTAATCTACTATATGCGCTAAATTATTATTATTGAATATGCATATGTTGCATATTGTTTTTATAAATTTTATAAATTAATATGCAATTGCATACAATGTTGATAACAAACACAATGGGAAGGATTATATTTGTGTTTGTCACATTACATATCTTCTTCATTATCTTGAGAGAAGCGATAATAATTTCAAGTCAGTTTCTGCACGTGAGATCTTATTATTTTCGTCGACGCCTAAAAGCTTCAATTATACAGAACATTAACTTGCTTTTAGTAACTAAACCGCTTTTCCGCTATTACCACTAGACTATATCTGATTACATTATCTTTCCGTTTGAAAACTACGTTATTTCGTAAATAGATGCTAACATATCATAACTAGAAATACATGTATACTTCTAACTTATTTACAAATATCATTGAAAATATTATTATTAAATATGATATGAATTAAAATGCGCTTGTTATATCTTAATAATAGTTAACAATAAGTTACATTGAAAAAAATTGGTTAACTTGACTAAATCTTTTAATTCAATTACTATTTTGTTAATTGAACATATTAGTATTTAAGTCAAATATATACGTTTTGCTAGATTTAATATTATATTTAATTTAAATATTTTTATATAAATATGTTTAATTAACAAAATATTGAGTTGAAAGGAAGTCAAGTTAACAATTCTTTTTTCAGTGTATAAAGTTACTATTAAATACTGAAAATATCCTATATATACAATATTATAAATAATATACAGATACTGTTTACATGCACATATATAATGATGATGGATTTATATATTCACATTTAAGATCGTTATCTATCGTAATATTTTAATAATGTTATCTCTAATATCGCGGGCAAATAAAATTTAGAAATACAATTGTATTACGCGGTAAAAGCCATGTTGTCATATAGATATATGTGAAACTGG